AAAGCCATAAATAAACTTTAAATTGGTTTTTTCTAGATAGGAAGCGAACGAGGCACAAGAGTGAAATAAATTAGCGGACCGATGGACTATGAAGAAGAAGGATCTGCGCCAACGAGCTGCAAATTAATGTTTCCTCCCAGCAATATTAGATAACGAAACCCGAGATTCGGAGCATATGGAGTGAAGATCTTTCGCCCGAAAAAAAAACGAAGAAGAAGAAACTCGGGAGCCAATGAAACGTAAACAAGAACGGCAGTCAGAACAATTACACGAAAACAAAGAGCAGTCAAAAGGCCAAAACAAGCCAAAAAAAAAAAAAAAAAAGAGAGAAGGAAAAAAAAACAAGAAAAAGAGGAAAAACATTTCTGGCCAGGTTTGTTGATTGTACGGATATGTGTGGTGGAAGGCATGCTGGTCCTGGCCTCTAAATGACCGGCTTGGAAACGAGTCACAAGTGGGGGGAACTGAAGGGGGGAAAGGGGAGGGGAGTAGCCCCAAAAGGGTCTGGGCCATGATTTTCGGTTTGGTACCCGGGTCTGAGGTCTGGGCCCGGTCTCGTCTCGTCTCGTCTCTTAACGATGTGCATGTTTATGCGCTGCTCTGCTGCGTTGCAGGCAACGCACGAACGCCCAGACATTTAAAGCAGTGGAAGGCAACAACAACAACAACGCAGGGCCAAAAGAACCCCACCAACAACTCCGGCGGGAAGGTAGGAGGTAGACAAAAACAACAACAACAAGAACAACAGCGGGAGCGGATGAAGGGCCAGGTTACGGAGCTTGTTAGCAACGGAGACATGAACCAAGATGCTGGCTAGAGGTGGCACCACTTCCCGGAGTCGAAAAACTATCGTTTAGGTATTCAATTTTAAACTTTTCGAGTTCTGAATACAAAAGAAATAAGTTTGATATATAAACAGTAAGTAATAAAGTAATATCTTATTTTAAAATTTTAGAAGACTTTAAACTCTTGTTTTTTAAATTATCTTTGAAAAAAAGAATTTGGACAACCACATTTTTTATTTAAACTAACTAGAAACTAAATTTCTTTATCACAAACAATCATCATAAAATTAATAAATGATTTTCGTTTACTGAATTTTTTGAAATTTATATCGCCCATCACTAAATGTTCCCCAGTTTTAGTCCCCTGTTTTTATTTCGGTTCCTCGTTCAGTTCGTTAGTTGGCCAAAGCCAACGGCTATGTTAAGTGGCCCATACACACGGATACACACTCACACAAACGCACTGGCAAACAGGGTTGCCTGCGCGCCTGTAGATATGCAAATTGGTATAGAAATTTAATTACTTGCTGACATGTTTTGGGCCCTTAAATTGGCAACTTGTTGGGTGAAGTATAGTCCTATAATATCATCCACACTTACTTCACCAGCAGCTGGGGACTAGCACGTGATGGCTTTTCTAAAGCTAACGCTATAAAAGAATAATTAAGTTGATAAATATGCTCAGCATGGTAAATAAGAAATATTTTGTCGTTACTCCTAACAACTGGAGTGCTACAAAACCTTTTGGTTTTAAAGAAATTGAATTGTATATTCTGATTATTGGAGTCAAGCGACTAAATGATGCACATAACGACGAACCAGTCGTCTAAATTATAGATAAAATTCATGTGCTATTAAGGTACCCCTTTAAAAAAAATAAACACACTCGTTAAATTAATGATTTGCCATGTGAACAACTCGTTTAGGCCAGCAGAGTGGAGTGTGAAGTGCAAGGGAATCGCGCTGGGGAACCAGCTGGGAATGCCTTTAGCCTATCGATGTTTCCCTTTTGCAATTAACATTTGTGGAACACACGTAATTACAAGATTACGATAAGTGATAAGCATCCGCAGCAGGAGGATGAAGAAAATGGCCAAAAGCAGTTGGACGGGTCGCTCTCTTGCTTTTGTTCTTGTTGTTTTTGTTTTTGTTGTTGCTGCTTTTGCGGTGGCAGTTGCATATTTGCATATGCAGACCGCACTGGATATGGCAGCCAATTTGCTGGCAATGCCAAATACGATTACGCAGATGCACGGGAAACTAACTCTTGCATAAAAAAATAATCTTATAAATTTGATTAGATTTTATTGCCAAGCTTGGGAAATAAGAAAAGCTATTTTAAAGACTGCAGAGACTTATTTATTTCAAATTAATATGAAAAGATGAACCTATAAAAAATGTTTTTCCTTTAAGCTAGCCTGAAAACGTAATTAATTTAAGAGATATCCAACTTTATGAACTAATTCACTAATAAATACGTAAATGTATAATGCATTTTTCTCCGTGTAAACACACAAACGAGGAGCATTCATTTCCACCCATCACAGAGGTCAAGTCACCCACACAAATCTGCGGCCAAAGAAGGGACGCAACGATGGCGTTGATGAGGATGATGCGATGATGATGTTGATGATGCTGCTCCTCCTGCTGCATTGCTGGCTGAAACCAATCTGCTGGCCAACACAGATACATTACACAAATGCACACACACACACACACACACACACACACACAGTTCGGAGTGACCACACCACAACATTATTGTTTAAATTGCAAAGTGATACATTTGTGCCGGCGGACCGAGAGTTTGCCTTTGGTTTTAGCAGTTTGCATACGCAATGCAGTTGGCTCCCCGGATGATTGGGTTAGTTAAAGCCCAATTGTGTTTGCCATTCGTTCGGACATTATATAGTACTGTGCCGTTTTTCAGCAAAAGTTCAAATTTAAGATTATTTTCATTGCAATTCACAAGGAGTTTGTATATCGTTATGCATTTTCAGAGGCCATCAATTAAGCAGAGTTTAAGCCAGCTTTGTGAAATATAATTGGAGGTAATTAAGTTTATTATTTAATCAGCTTTAATTTGAAGCAGTTATCTTAAATATTCAACGGTTAAAATAATTCATACAAATTTCAGTAAGCTGACATTCAAACTAATCGCAATTACTCAGTTGTATTTTGCATAGTTAATTGGATAATTTGCAGATAGCAAAGGGATAATGGTTCCCTTGGCAATTTCCGAGAAGGGGAACAAAGTGTCGCAAGTGTTGACAGGCATTCTAAGCCAATGTCACAGGGCTGTTGGAAAGTGGAACTGGTGCACACATAAATGAAATCAAAATCAATGTCAACAACAGTGAAATGTCGAGTGTCCCGCGGGGATGCAAAAGGATGGCAGGATGGTAGGATGGTGGGATGGCAGGATGGCGGAATGGCAGGATGACGGCGGTGGGCGTCAAAGGCGCCGTCGCCTTTGAAGTACTCCCATTACTACTAAACTGGCGTACTACGGCGTAGTAAATAGAAGCTAAAGCAAATAGCGACGAGCTACGAGCTCTGACGTAAAAGGACGAAAAAATAGAGGAGGGCGAGGGGTGGGGGATCCCCCACACGGAATGACAGCGGCAAAAACGTCAGTAGCTGCAAAAAAGAACAAGGCTTAAAGAAGTGGGTGGCTGGGAATGTGGGTTTCATTTTTTTTTGTACCAAAAGAGAGTGGGAAATAGGAGCAAATCAACGTAGGCAAAAAACACTTTGTGCGCGCGTCAAAGTGTTAAAGAAAGTAAGCATCCAGCCCAACCCAACCAACCACCCACACAACCCACACACACCCACCCACACATACACACACATAGTGAACAGGAGTCAGGAAAAGATGGAGATGGGTTTTCCCGGAGCTTTGTGTACATATTTGATGCGCTTTTTTTCCCATCCACCCAGCTCGACAAATTTAAGTTTTGGACTTCCTTTTCGGGGCGGCGGCACTTGCTTTGTGGGCGCCCCAATGCATGTTGGAGTACTCCCAACTCCCGTCTCCCGACTCCGGACTCCGAATCTCCGGATTGCAACTGAAGGAGAGGGCAGCCAAAAAAAAAAAAAAAACCGGAGGCTTATCTTTCAGCCAAACACTCAAGCGTCCACTTTTTGGGGCTTAACGATGTTTGGACGGCCTTTGTCCATTTGCTATTTCCATATTGACTTGAACCGTGAAGACCCATTCCACTTTTGCCCTTTGTGCCTTATTATAACCTACACTCAGATAAAATGTTGCCTAATCATAGTAAAGCAAGTCACAGATTTCACATTTTTTCAAATTACAAATACAATTTTAAAGATTTCCTCTTATTCATAAATCAGGTATTTTATTATTTTTAAAATCCTCCTTACTGCCAAAATTTTTGGTAAAATAATAGAGAACAACTTTTTTCTCTGTGCATAATTTTTGTGTGCCTGGGTCAATGCTTTGTGCATTTGAAATACGCCGGCAATTACCGGGCAACTTTGCCATATTACAACTGCTGAATTATTAGTGAGCTGCTTTTTTCAGCTCATTAGCGTCGCATCTAGTCGGAAAAGTGTTTGGAGGAGCCCACGGAAAAGGGGGTACTAAATTATGCGCAGTGCAATCAAGTTGAGTGCGTACTACAGTCTAAATAAGTAGTAGTTGTTTATTCATAAAAGCTATGCGCCGAGAAATTGTCAGCCTTTGGGCTTTGACAACACGAAAAAGAGCTTAAAGGAAAACGCAAAGCGCTAAAAGGAGAGGGGCTAAATAAAGAAGAGAGCGGGGGGAGCGGGAAGCTCAAAAGTGCAGTTGAAACCACATAAACAAACAATTACAGTAGACACTCGAAAGAGTTCACTCTCAATTGGGAATATTAAAGTTAAATATTCAAAAGTTTAATATTTATTGTTTTATTGCAATCAGATACTCATAAATTACAAAAAGAAAAGAACTAAATTGAATTGTTTAAGTAAACCCATGGAGTTTATTGTTCAACCATATCGAGCGTTCCCTGTCAAACGAAAGAAAGCCTTTGACTGGGAGTGAAGTAGAAAGATATCACAGCCCTATTCCCTTTACAAACTCTCTATCCCTGTGGTTAAAACCCACACTCCCGCCACTTTTCAAATTAATCGAACTGTCATCAAATACTGGTGAATTCCTTTTGCAAAAACGATGTCTTTTGTTCGTAATGAAAGTGAGGAACTTACCATTTTTGTATTGCCAACTGTTTGAGATGCCAAAGCAAATCAGTAGAAAGCCGATCAGCACAGGTCGCCATCCCACTCCCTTGTTAAATGTCGCGCATTTCGTCGCTTTCGTTGTCACATCTTCATTATTTGATATAACTTGGCACAATTGAGGTTCGATTTGAGCAGACTTTTTGTATGGCTCGAGAGCCATCTTATTTTGGAAGCACTATCTCCGGAATCCTAAGACATTTGGCGCAAAAAATATCAGATGACGCGAACCGATCGTTTGTCTTTTGTTAGACGCACATAATAATCTCACGGAAAAACTGCAAGTGGAAAAGAGATGGATGTTTAAAAACAGGTCAAATAAAATGTATTTCTGTCTTTACAATTTATAATCTCATAATGAAACCAAAAAAAACTATAGTTCTTAGACCAATAAAAAAAAACTTTTATTTATTTTTCAGTGTTTTGGTGACGCGGAAGAGCACTTCAGTAGTTAACTTTGTGTTTTCATGAACAGTGTTTTTTATATAGAAGGTACAACTTTAGGACACTAATTTCTTTAAACTTCGGATTACAGTTTAATTTTTGAGTAGTGATGTTTTTATTTTAATTGCATGATGGTTTATTCTTCATTTTTAATGTTATTTGTGTTTACATTAGTTAATTTATTGTACGTTTGCTTTTGTTGTTGTGGTGACTTAATATAATTTCCGTTTCTTTTGTTAATCAGTGTGATCGCCTTGTTTGCTCATGTGTTTGTGTCTGTTTGCCTGTGTGCGTAGTACAAATTGTTGTTGTCATAAAGTAGCGAGAGATAAGCAATTGTGCAACCGGGTGGGGGTGACCTCCCCACACCGCCGCCGCTTCCCTGAAAATCCCCCAACTGGTTGCTAAATTGAAATACTGTAAATGATAAGGCGAGTTGGTAATTAAGTCACCTTTCGGCGCTTCCACGGCGCAACAAGCCGGCGACTGAAGGTGTTTGTGTGTGTGTGCAACCCCAAAAAGGCGCTGCTGCACCCAGCGGGAAAGTGGGAAGTAGGTTTTTTTGTCCTGAAAAAACCAGTGGAAAACCTACTGCTTTTGGCAGGCGTAGGGGTAGGGATAGATGAAAACCTACTTCTTTTGGCAGGCGTTGGGAAGGGGTAAATAATTTCGGACCGCTAAATGGGGTGGGTTTCTGAATATGACCATAAGTTACAACGAAGTTGTGACTAATTATTGTCTTTCTTCAGAATATGCACGGTCACATCAGTATAAAATGTCGTGCAAAATGTGTCAAAAGTGAAAAAAAGTTAAGTTTATTCTAAAAAACAAGATAAAGGTAAGTTATAACATAAATATTTTTGTTTGTATATCCTTATTTCAGCGTTACGGATATGGTGAACATAAGCATTTTTACGAAAACTAAATATTAGCCGCCAGAGGCGGTTGTCAAGTAAGTAAGTAAGTTTTTTATTTAAATTTATTTTTCAATTTCACAAGAACAAACAAATGTTTATTTTCATAAAATTTGTAATAGATTCGACATCAAAGATTCTGGCCCATATGTCAATATTAATGGCAAATCTGAACGTGCGCAAGCGGGGATTTCCGATTTCATTATTTGAAGAACTCGGCCATTTGGACTCCGATGCCGAAGCCAATCCAGAAGCATTTGTAAGTACAGTCCTGTGTCCCCATGCTTTTTACTATGTTTATTACTTATTTTTCTAAATTTCTCTATTTTTTCCATTACTTTTTATATATTTATTATTTGTATTAATATGTAATATATTAATGTATTATGGTTTTTATTTTCAGAGTCACTCAGAAACGACATATCAAGATGATCTGCGTTCACCGTTCACTAAGGCAAAAAATAAAACATACAACAATACTTTTGTCATAAAGCCCTTGGACTGTAAATAGATTAATAAATGCATATACCAATTTAAAAAGTATTCTTTTTTATTGCTGTTTTGCATGTGGAAATTCTGAAAAGCGGGAAGGCCAAAAACCAGTGGATTTTGTCCTGCGTTAGGCAGCAGGATTTCCACTGGTTTTTTCAGTACAAAAACCAGTGGATTTCCACTGGTTTTTTCAGGACAAAAACCAGTGGATTTTGCCCTGCTTTCGGCAGCTGTAGATCCAGTGGATTTTGCCCTGCTTTCGGCAGCTGTAGATCCAGTGGATTTTGTCCTGCTTTGAGCAGCTGTAGATCCACTGGAAAACCTCCTCTACCCCTGCCTTTTGTGTGTCACCCCCGTGTATTTGGCAAGGAGAGAAGGCAGAAAAGGAAGGGGTAGAGGAGGTTTTCCACACATTTCTTGTATGAAGAAAGCAGAGGAAAGAAGCATATTTTCCACAGGTTTTTTCCCGCTGGGCACTTTCCAATGGAAAATTTCACGACGACAACCAAAACAAACGCAGTTTGCCGCTGGAAAATGCAGCAACAAAGCAACAGAGGAAAGAGAGGGAGACAAAAATGTACACAGGCACGCACACACCAAGAAAACACAACGTCTTTCAAGCAGGCCGTAAATTTAGATGCCCGAGATCTCTTGTTTTGTTTTTAGAACCATTTGATACACATTTACACCACAACAACAACAGCACCAGCTCGCACGCTGCACAACAAACCCGAAAAACACGCCAAATTCCGAAGCAATGTCCTAGTCCCGCCAAAAAGTGTATTAATCACGACCGTTTAGCCGCTAATTGTTTGTTTGGCTCACGCAATTCGACCGAGCGTGGCCATTTTGTGGTTACTTTGTTTTGTAAATATTCGATTTACTTTTCACTGAGTTTTCCGTTCCCCGTGTTGCCGTGTTTTTCGTCTCGCTCTTTCGAACAGTGTGACCGTACTGGGGCGACGTCAAGTGCCGTTGGTGTGGCCGCTTCAAATGTACTAAATGAACTCAAGGCAACGTTTAATATCTACCAAAAATATATTAAAGATCGGAAATACCGTAGCTGGTTTTACATCCCTTTATTATTTCCATTTTAAAATATGTTTTCAACAAAAAATTAAAAAAGATGCTCCGTTAAATTGTAAACAAAAATATGGACTTTAAATAAAATTAATCAGAATCGAAAAAAGTCTCAAGTCCATATATTTAAATATATTTAGCGCTGACACAAACCATTGGCTTGAGCGGGAAAACACTGAACAAAAATGTTAGCTTTTATTAGAGAAATAGGAAATGCTGTTTTCATCAAAATTTTTATAAATTTATAGGTGTTTATTATAATACATATATATTTTGCTTTTTTATTATATTACATCCACCAGTTTAAGAAAAGTTCCAAAGGTGTACTTCATTTACGCAATTTAAGTTTTCGACCTTGAAGGGCTAAGAATTTTGTTTGAACATCCGATACGTTAACATTTAAAACTGTATTTGTAACTCGCAAGATAAATTTAAATATTCCTAAAGTACAACTAATGAAAGTCTTTACAAATGCTAGGTGTCCATGAATTGCATTTCCGACCACAGCAGGAGAGCATTTGGTGGCAGAGGTCGCGGCTGCGGTGAAAGCAGCATTACTGCCTGCCTCTCCATGTCCACTTCGGTTCTAGAGTACACAAAATAAGTTATAATTATTTTAGGCAATCAGCTTCAAGTTGCCAGCACTTACACGCATAAAAAGCCGGCTACGTTGGTGCCAATAACATCATCTTCAACGGACTCGGCGAAGCTGAGTGCCAGCATGTGATGGATGAGGGCAGGTGTTGGAGTGACGGCCACCACCTTCGTCTTATTGTCCTCCGCCTTCATACCAATTGGCATACAGGAGTCGGGAAGCGGTGGCGCTCCGATCTTGTACAGCCGCAGATCCTGGAACTTCACCTCAAAGCTAAACGGATAAAATGGCGCCTTTACATTTCCGTAAAAGTACTCTCTAATTCGCTGATCCCGCGCCTCGTGCCGCAGTTTTTTGCTTCGCTCCACGACACCTCCACTCTTCGGCAGTAGCACCACATTGACTCCCTTGGGCACGTCCCGCAGCAGCTCATTGTAGAGACGCTCCTGGTCCAAAACGAAGATGGCACAGGCTCCGTACGCCTTTACAGCGTGCAACAGGTGCGCATAACCGGAGCCTTTTACCCAGCCGCAGGTGTTTACTATGATGCCGGAGCTTTTGGCTGGGAAAAAAGAAAATTAATAATTCGTCAAGCCTATCTTTAAAAACACCTTTTCGATTCAACCAAAATAAAATGGTTTCACAGATTCCCAATAACGAACTTACTGCGCTTGTTGCTGCTGAGAGACTGCAGGGTGACCTCGGCCATCTTGGAGACGACGGCATTGTACAAAACACTGTTTCCGCTGGGTGACTTGTGGCCAAAGTGATAGACCAACGGCGCAGTCTTGGCGAATCCCTCCTCGACGCTCGCTGGCCGTTCGATAAGGATGGTGGCCACGCTCCCGGAAACGGCAATGGAGCCCTGGCCGACGTCCAAGTCGGCGTAGAGAGGCCGACGACCCACCCGCACAGCATAGTTGAGCAGAATTCGGCACAGAGTACTCTTGCCCACGTCCATGGGACCGACAACCATGGCCACTGGACCGCGGCGGTCCTTCTCCTCGGCCTCTGTGCGGAATTGCTCCAGAGCCGCGTGGCAATTGACGTATTGCACCATCGGCGTCTCTTTTGAGATGTAGCACACGTCCATTTGCCCGGATACGTGTAGCACACATCCCTGATACGTGAAGATAGCCACCTTAGCGCCCACGCCGAACTCGTACTTCTTTTTTTTACCAGTTCCGTGCCGAACAGCTCTGCAAAGCCGTTGACAAGCTGGGCAAGAGAAAATTATTACAGGATATATGGCTTTCTATAGCAGAAGATACACTTACAGAAACCTGGACTTTGGCGTCCTGCTGCTCGATCTCGAAGCGCAACTCGGAGTCTACCTCCAAAGTGTAGTCCTTGCCATGCTCCTCCGACATGGCTGTGTACTCTGTCCTCTTAATTTACTTAAATGGCGAAATTATGGAAATATTCTGTCCGAGGAGGAAAATAATGGTAAACAACTTCAGAAGTGAGTGTTGGGGAACGCTATCTCATCAGCTGAGTATCAAATTAGTATTCAAACATTATTTATAAAAAAAAGTATTATTTACAAATAAAACAGTTCTCATGTTCCAAAATCAACAGTTCCCCAGTTAATAACGTATATTATTTATAACAAATAAAAATTAGTTTAAAAAAAAGTTAATTCGAATAAATTTTTCAAACCCATTATCGATAAGTCGATAACATGGATTTTTTATATGTCGATTCGGTCACACTGCACAAAAAAAGCGGGAATGCTTTCAAACAACAAAATTAACGCCGAGATTCTAAGATAGATAAAAGAAAATCACATAATGCCAAGAAAAACCGCCGCGAGGACCACCAATGTGCCAAAACCAACATTAGGCGACACGGACGCTGAAAGCGACGACGACACTGCATTCCGATCACCTGAACCCGAGGATGGCACCGACTACGGCTTAGAGTTTACCACCAGTCGACTGACGCTGCAGGATGCCAACAATCGTCGCTGCTCGACGCTGCGCAAGGACACAAATGCCGGCAGGAGAACCCGGCAAGCGGAAAGGACCTCATCCAGCGCCGAGGAAGATGAGGAAAACTATCAACCGGAACTTAGGCAGTCAAATCGACAAGAGCGACAGCCGGCATCCAATCAGCAGCAGAGTCGCCAAGCTGCCGGCCAGGTAACAAGAGCAGGAACCAGCGGTACCCAGGCTCAGCCCAGGCGACGCAAAGCTCCGAATCCCATAAGCAGGGCTAGGCGAATGGATCGCGATATCCGCCGACTGCAGGAAAATCCGGGCTTGCTCATACCGAAACTGCCGTTCTCGCGACTGGTGCGAGAACTAATTGTCCAGTTCAGCGACGGCGCGCCATTGAGGGTCACCGAGGGTGCCTTGTTGGCCATGCAAGAATCCTCCGAAATGTACTTGACCCAACGGCTCTCCGACGCCTACTTGCTAACAAGACACCGCAGTCGCGTCACGCTGGAGGTGCGCGACATGGCGTTGATGAGCTACATCTGTGACCGTGCTCATCGCTAGACCAAAATACGCAAGGCTGTAAGGCATATTTAGATTTTAATTTAATAATTAAATCCTGTATAGTTAGATCCACATTATAGTAAATCTGGAGCGGCAGGTTTTAGTTCTTGTATTTAGCTTGGATTCCGTGTTAGTTTTGTTGTCGCGCAAAGTTTTGATTATACATTTTGTAATTTTAAGTGTAAAAATGTTGAATAAAAAGTTTTTAAGCATTTTGTTAGCTTTATACACTTTGTTTTTAAAGGAAATGATAACCATAAACAACGCTTATAATCACACCAATAAAATACTTTGTTTCATTTTGTTTTTAGCAATTCGTTTTATTTCTATTTCTTGCTGTTTGTTTCATCTCCAATTTCTTGTACAACATAAAACATAATCCATAATAGTTTAACTATAAAGTTGCCGGCCAGCGCCAAGCGAACTACACATATAGGTTTTTAGCTAGGATTAGGATGCATAAGATGTAGTCACGCGAAACGCACTAAAATTATGGGCCTAGTCAGGGTAGGTAGTGCGCTTTTTGAAATGAGTCACCATTTAGAATGTCGCGGCCCTTCAAACGACCCGATGAGTAGGAAACTAAGCACTAAAACGAGTAACATGAATAGATATACTGGCCTCAACTGAAAATCGCAACGGCAATTTGTCTTTCGTGGGATGGATCTTAAACGCCGATGGGCATTCTCAGAACTTAAACGTAAATTGAGCTTTCGTCGAGCTATTTTTAGGCTTAATCTGCATTCTTTTTGGCATTTGCACAAGTGTGATTTAGCACAGTAAAAATACTGCAATCTAGATTTATTACAACTTACACAATCATACAAAATATATTTATATTTATATATTTAGCCATATAATTGATATCGGAGACTGCAACAGTTCTTTCTCCCAGCAGCCCTAGCCACCTCGCATTCTTCGCTACAACAACGTGTTGTAAACTATATTCTAAAATGTAGGAGCAACATTTTGCTTCGCCCTTTCGCTAACGTTTTCTATTTGCTTTTCTTTTATTTCTTTTGTTATTTTCAATTCGTTTTGTTGTGTTAATCCTGTTTCTTTGTTTCGTTTCTGTTTAAACATCGACGGTGAATTTTGTTGGGTTGTGTTTACGGGTTTTTCTTTTGTAATAATTGCGCTCCACCTGCTCCTACGAGTATCCCTCGTCACTAACGACGTAAATTTGTAAAAGAAAACTAATTAAAGTAGCGGGAAACCGAAACCGACACCTAGTGCGGTTTGCTCTTGGACTTTCGATGCGCGGTGCCACCGTTCTTGTCCGCACTGCTGCCAAAGTTGCTCTGGCTGCTCACCGATGCGGTTTCCGGATGCAGAGTCACGCCCTTGGGCGTGTACGGTATCCGGAAGAGATTGATGCGCAGGTGCTGGCAGATCTCCAGACAGACCTGGGCGCAGTAGCGCAGCAGGTCCTGGGTGCCCCAGATGAGGGTGAACCACAGCAGCCAGATCTCCGGCACGATGCAGTTGAAGTACTGGTTGAGGAACAGCAGCGAGGGACCAAGCAGCGACCAGTCCAGGTACTCCATCTCCGACTTGGTCATGTGGGCAATCTGCGAGTGATTTAAATAATTAATAGAAAGCTTATAGGAAAAACTCATAAGAGGGATAGGCTTGAATAAAATTAAATTACCTAATGATGTAATTTAATTTTTTTGTAACCCTTAGACTTACCACCAACTTGTTGGTGACCTTGGCGGCCACCATTCCGAAGGCCAGGATGTAAACCGAGGCGTGCTCGGTGAAGATGTTCTGCGGCGACTTCTGGGCAATCATCAGGGCGGGCAGCACGACCAGCGTGAGCGGGATGCTGGGCGACAGGACACTGGTGCCCTGCAGGAGTACGAATAAAGCCCAAATCAAAAAAGGATCTCTGGTTTTTTGTTGCACGCTTGCAAAGTGTCGCCGTTTATCGGAATTGTGCTTATTAGACTTTAAACGAAGTGTTGGTTATGTGCATCAACTTAGCAGAACAACTTTAGATATTTAAATTTTTTTCTTTCTCATAATTTGCCGTTAATTATCCGTAAATTATTCGTGAAAGAAAAAAATTTGCCATTAATTTTTTAAAAAATATTGGGTGTTCTGCTAAGTTGATATCAACTTAGCAGTACAACTCACTAATATTCAACTTTTTCAACTTTTTCTTTTACAAGAATTTGCCGTTAATTATCCGTAAATTATTCGTGAAAGAATCAAATTTGCCGCTCAACTTTTTGATTTTTTATTTTAAAAAAACCTTAATGTTCTGCTAAGTTGATATCAAGTTAGCAGTACAACACACTAAAACTAAACTTTTTCAACTTTTTCTTTTACAAGAATTTGAGGTTAATTATCCGAAAATTATTCGTGAAAAGAATCAAATTTGCCGCTCAACTTTTGGATTTTTTATTTTAAAAAAACCTTAATGTTCTGCTAAGTTGATATCAAGTTAGCAGTACAACACACTAAAAATAAACTTTTTCAACTTTTTCTTTTACAAGAATTTGCCGTTAATTATCCGTAAATTATTCGTGAAAGAATCAAATTTGCCGCTCAATTTGTATATTTATTAAAACAAAAAAAGTGTTTCGTTTTGTTAATTTAATTAGCAGGCCACCCCGAATAAAAAAGGACGTTTCCACTATTCTTTCGGCTTTGAAGTTACCGAATTTTATTTATCCGTAAATTATTCGTAAGAAAATGTTATGATTTTTTTTCTTGAAATAAATAATTTTTTTATTTTATGTTTTCGAATAAATATTAGTTGATTTTTTTCATACACTGCCCAAAATCACCCAAGAAAAATAAGAAATCAGCATTGAGATTTTTGTTATATGTACATATATTGAAAACTTGAAGGTTTTATTTTTAAATGTGTCGAACGACCGCTCATCAATATAAGACTCGTCTGTCACAGATTCTTGCAAGGATTTATTAAAATTTCTTTTAGTTGACTCTTTTCCAGTCAAAATGTATTTAAGGTCAACCTATTGTTTACTATGTACGTACATAAAAAATTGCCACGATTCGGTGACGATTTGGGCAAGTTGATCGTTGTAGCAACGCTATTTTTTTTTCGGAGAAACCGCGTTTTTCACCGAAACGTGGCAACGCTATTTTTTATGTAGTAAACAATAGGTACTGAAATACGTTTTGACTGGAAAAGAGTCAACTAAAAGAAATTTTAATAAATCCTTGCAAGAATCTGTGACAGACGAGTCTTATATTGATGAGCGGTCGTTCGGCACATTTAAAAATAAAACCTTCAAGTTTTCAATATATGTACATATAACAAAAATCTCAATGCTGATTTCTTATTTTTCTTGGGTGATTTTGGGCAGTGTATGAAAAAAAATCAACTAATATTTATTCGAAAACATAAAATAAAAAAATTATTTATTTCAAGAAAAAAAATCATAACATTTTCTTACGAATAATTTACGGATAAATAAAATTCGGTAACTTCAAAGCCGAAAGAATAGTGGAAACGTCCTTTTTTATTCGGGGTGGCCTGCTAATTAAATTAACAAAACGAAACACTTTTTTTGTTTTAATAAATATACAAATTGAGCGGCAAATTTGATTCTTTCACGAATAATTTACGGATAATTAACGGCAAATTCTTGTAAAAGAAAAAGTTGAAAAAGTTTAGTTTTAGTGTGTTGTACTGCTAACTTGATATCAACTTAGCAGAACATTAAGGTTTTTTTAAAATAAAAAATCCAAAAGTTGAGCGGCAAATTTGATTCTTTCACGAATTATTTACGGATAATTAACGGCAAATTCTTGTAAAAGAAAAAGTTGAAAAAGTTTAGTTTTAGTGTGTTGTACTGCTAACTTGATATCAACTTAGCAGAACATTAAGGTTTTTTTAAAATAAAAAATCAAAAAGTTGAGCGGCAAATTTGATTCTTTCACGAATAATTTACGGATAATTAACGGCAAATTCTTGTAAAAGAAAAAGTTGAAAAAGTTGAATATTAGTGAGTTGTACTGCTAAGTTGATATCAACTTAGCAGAACACCCAATATTTTTTAAAAAAATTAAGCGGCAAATTTTTTTCTTTCACGAATAATTTACGGATAATTAACGGCAAATTATGAGAAAGAAAAAAATTTAAATATCAAAAGTTGTTCTGCTAAGTTGATGCACATGTGTTGGTTAACTTGTGAAAATAAATCACGGCACATTTTGCAAGAGTGACAACAATTTGAGTGTGCACAAACAAAAGTGAACAAAAATTCTTTTGGCTTTTTGTGTTTTTTTTATAGGGTATCAGTAATTTTCCCTCTAGGAACTTGGACTTCGAAAACACCAGAGGGAAAATTGCTCTTACTGTTTTGCTGTTTTTATTACATGTTTTATTTACACGGTCTAGCACTATTGGGCGGGTGTGTGGGTGGGTGGGTTGTTGGTGGATTGGTCGGTTTTTGTGGGTTATAAATGCACATATGTCAGTATAAAAAGCCAATTTACCAAACGAAAGCACAATGCAAAAGTAAAAGCAATCGACATGCCATGCCAAAACTGACACCAAAAACAAGAACTACGAGCTACACAAATAACTATACTAGATGTAAACGAACATGGGACGTGCACTTGGATCGATATAGATAGCATTACTCAAGGCAGTAGTTAAAGGCAACACGTTTCGGACTCTCAGATCTCAAATTGTATGCTACTTAAACCGATTTACAGTGCGTTTTAACCACATAAGAAACATGAATTTTCTCAAAAACGCACTGCACACCAGGACAAGGACGAAACTATCTCGAAGGGAGTTCTTCGAGGTGGGATTATACGTAAAGTTCTTACTGCAACCGACGATCCGTTCTTGCCACAACCTTCGGTCAAAATGCACTTTGAGTAGCGCAGTGTTAGAATAAAATCTACGCCGCAGGCCACATAAATTGGCAGAAATCTCGTTTCGCAGTCGAAGTACGGTAGCTGTTTTATTTTTATGAAATGGATTTCAGTTTCGTTTTGGTTTGTCAAACGATATTGATTGATTGATTGCGTGCGGAAGAAAAGAACGACGCACATTAAAATTTCATTTGTAATTACGAAACACTTGTGCTTTTTCCAGAAGTCTTTTGGTAACTAAAAATGTAATATCGATTTTCCAGAAGCTCCATTCACCAATTTAAACATAATATTTAATTAAAATTATATTAAGGCTAGTTTGATTACAGCTAAATTGCATTCGATTAGTAAATAAATATAAATAGCACTTAAAAAACTAAGGAAACCCAAGCAGCAGCATGCATCAAATGACATCCAATGATATGAACTATTAGTCGATTTCGGGAATAGGAAATTAATCGAGTGCGAGAGCCCAAACCAAATTCCAGAACCCTTTACCGAACGAGTCGAAATTGCAAGCCATGTCCAAAATCCAAGTCAAAGGAAAATGCAAACGGATATTAGTAGAGAACCCAAAAAGCAGAACCAAGGATTAGAAAACGATGTTATGGCTGTGGGGCTACGGATTAACTGATTAGCTGATTAACTGATGGCCCGCTTTCGAGTTAGTCTGTTATTAAGGTTTTGTTATATAATAGTTTTCACAATAGTTTTACGCCTCGTTTTTGTTTTGCGAGAGGAGGGTGCAATGCTTACAGCAACTGAGGAGCCGTTTTTGCCACTGCCGCCTTCAGTAAACATTTTTAAGAAATTGATTATATTCAAGGTATAACCGAATGTGATAAATATTAATATTGTATAATTCCATGAAAGGCCCACGATTGGTATCTAGTAAAGATGAAAGATTGCAAGAAAACAATTAAATTTAGAATCTTCGACTACATTCAGAGGATGGAAAAATTTGTTGGTAAAATGTTTGGTTTGGTTAACGAGTTCCTCGAGTGCTAACAGTCGAATATATCAACTGTGAACGCCCTGCAACTCATACTTACAATCTACACTTAAAGAAAATACATAGGGGTACAGTTTAGATTTAAATATTATTATTGGTTTGAGTAGGTAAATCCAAAACCGAAAGACAATAAAGACATAAAGAGTAAATAGATTGTCAACTGGACAATTGGACAGGGCAAATACATAGATTAATAGTAGGCGTAACTAAGAATTAACTTAAATTTTGCATTCAGCAGCCTCAAATAATTTTGTGTATGTGTGTTTTTATTTTTTATTTTTTTAGGCATGCTCTCGTTTTGCTTCCGAATATTTCATTGTTGAGTGGTTTCAATAGCAACAAAGCAGGTTATTATTTTTGCAGCAGATCCGCCGATTGAACCAAAGACACATGAACAAGAATCAAAAACGGCACAGATTAAATAGGCAAGCAATTGGGGGGTTAAAGAGTGGGATAAATGGGTTAAGGGGTTATCCTCACGCCACGCACCTTCCTCGAAATTCTCAGCTGAGCTGGTCACTCTTTCAATTCAGATAATCTTCTGGTTTTTTTTTGTTTTTGTTTTCAGGAGCCAAAATAGTTTTTGTTTTGTGTGTGTGTGTGTCTTGTAGTAGTGGTAGTAGTGTTTTGTATCGTGTGTGTGTGTGTTAAGGACTTACAGCAACTGTGGAGCCATTCTTGCCAACACCACCGGCTTTAATGACGGAAAATACATAAGTTAGGGAGAGCAGACCGCACACAATGGTCGTCATTGCCGGCCCATACCAAAGCTCTATACTGCCAATGCCGATCTGAGTGTTATATTGTGGGTGGGTGGGTGTATGGTGTTGGTTTGTTAAGTGTTTTAGGCATTGGATATCGGCGGGTTTGTTTAGAGAGCGCGCGCAGTACGCATTAAGTACATAGAAGTAGAAGGTATTAGACATTTATAATTAATTAGAGACTATACGGAAAACTATAGATAATTATATCAGAGAGTGGTTTGTGTTTGTGTTTCGTCCTGGCCTCGAGAACCTAACAATTAACGTGGCGAATATGCAAAAACTTAATGGTTGGGAGGCTGAACTCAAAACTAGCACGCTAAATCGAATGGAACACAACTTAGGGCAGCTGAGCCGAGCTTAAATCTAGGCAGCCTGAACAAAACTCGAGCTCTAAACTCTATGATAAACGTAACGAAATAAAACTCTTAAAACTACGCTTAAGTAACTAGAGAAAATATGCGAGGGTATGCAAAGAACTTCCGGAAATAATGCTTTAAATCGAAATAAGGTATTTTTCTTCGCTGGGTGGTTTGTGTCTTTGGTAACCACTCCTACCTTGGTCAACCAGATCTCGGGGCCCAGAGCAGCGGACACCAGGTGAATGGCAATGATCGAGAACTGCGCCTCCGTCACGTCGATGCGACCGAAGCGCATTGTTCCAGACACATACGTCTGCCAGTGGGCGCAGTAGAAGAGAGCTATAGCACAGAAGCACTGTAAGAGAATCCCTGAATTTATCTTGCTCTTAAAGATCTGTGTGTGTGTAATCCACTCACCTGGAAGAAGAGCCAGTTGGGATAGTGACCCAGTTGGCAGGAGATGCAGGCCGACAGGGCCACGAACACCGTGGATATGGAGTCACAGCCGTGGTCAAAGAGCTCGCCCAGCGGCGAGGAGGTATTCGTGCGACGCGCCTGCTTCCCGTCGATGGAGTCCAGACTCTGGTAGATGAACAGGCCCAGGGCACACAGCACACAGGTCCAACGTGGCGGCGCCTCAACGCCATTTGGACTATAGCTGTAGGTGGGAATTGGGAATTAAGAAGTGAATAATGAGACAAATCTTAAATAAAAGGGTTTCTTTTGCAAATTCTAATATTTCAAGATGCAAATTCTAATATAATATATCAATGACGGAAATTCATAGTAATCATTGCTGCTTTTTCCTACACACCCTTTATATTTTGTAATACGAGTTTTATAAGATTACTAACCTTGATAGTAGCTCTGATTTCTAGTTCAATCAAGTCAAATCTCTTGGGAGAATAAACTGTGTTTTTATTGATTACATGTTGAGTAAGCAATCTGATTCACTGCATAGATTGACTAACCACAAAATTCAAGTGAAATATAACTTAATAATATCATTTGAAATGTAACAATCTTTAAATAATTAAACCATTAAAGCTCCAACACTTATTATGAAATCTTAAAATGTATTAATACTAATAACTCTCATTAGTTTCTGTTGAATTTACCCCGTGTTTAATCTCTTGTAAATAAATAATAATCGACCAAGTGAATTAAGTCTGTTTTCCACCAATCAGAACTGGCAAGCGTATAATTTGAAACCGTTTCGTTCGTTTCCAAGTCAATTAGGTGCTACCATTTCCCAGCGAAACAAAAACAGACCGACGTCAGTGAGCATAAGATCGCCTGATGAGCAAAGTTCCCAAGCTGAATTCAGTAATTATCACTCAGACTAAGTATAAAATCACTGCTTTGCAGCTGGCACTTCGAGTAGGAACGATAAGGGAGCTGCTATCTCCTCAGCCATGTCGCCAAATCAGCTGACTCTGCGGTTCCGGCTCGGAATTTTGGCACACCGCAAGCTACAAGCGAGTCGAAACACCTGATTCCAGCTGAATCATCGTACATACATAGATAGATTATTACTGACACTACTTTATCGAGTCCCACTGACCTAGACAAGTTTACCTAAATCCGCAAGCGGGCTGGTAACAGTTTGTTTTATTTTTTCACAAAATTATTAAAACAAATACAGAAGTGCAAACAAATGTAGAATAATAATGGGCAGAGTGCAAATGAAAACCGGTCGGCTCTTTTGGCGACGTTTTGTGAATGAATATATAGATCCTATAGCATGTACTTCGGTCTAAAAATAACAGAAACCGACACGTGAGCAGCGTTCAAGGTGATTCATCTGCTGGGGGGACAGAAGTAAATGACTTTTCAGCCACTTTGATGGACTGGCCGTCGCTCTGAAGCAATCAGCCATAATGGGGGGAAAGTGGGGACACGTGGGCCTCAACAATTTGACGGTTTATTATTATTTAATTCCACAAAGAGTCATAGCTGTACTTTATATATTTAATGTCACCTGACTTTTGCCCCTTTTACTTGTTAATACCCCTGCCATAAACTTGCATTGAGGTGTTAAAAAACAACAGAATTTCAGCGTTTTACTATTTTTCACTGAGTCAGATCGAGAAAAAATAGAAAAGGCTGCTTTCTGGGCCAGTTCTTTAGAAACTCAAGGTTTTCTCTACAGCCAGAGGGAAAGTCTCTCTCTAAAAATATTTGTTATAATTGCTACAACTTAGTTTTGTTTGTTAAGAGTAGCGGAACACATGTTTTAATGGCGGACTTTGGTGGGAAGACCTATAAAAATCAATTAGGAATGCAAATTGTCATTCTAATTCAATCAAAGGTATCCCAATTGAAAGGCAAACAATTGGAAAATGCAAAATGTGCCCCCCGGGGTTAACTCATGTGAACTTTGTTTCGCAAGCAGAGGCTTTCTGAAAAGTTCTTTCTTTATGCCAGACTTTTACACCTGTTGGTTTTCGTATGCAGTATTTCATCGGCGATTAGCTCGCCTTTGTTTATTTACTTATCGTTTAAAATTGCCGTTTAGCCTGCAACGCCCTCAGACTTAAAGAAATGCGTCACAGAACGACGACAAACGGCAATGATTGCGATTACTTGTATTTTGCGCTGTCCGTGTGTAATGGCTAAAGTGGCGAGACGCCCTCGCTATCTTATCGCTGGCATACATAGTTTGTGTCCAACTGTTCTGAAGAGGGGGTCCGCAGTATACGCCATTTTCACGCCTCCCCACCCACTGGCTTAGTTAGTTAGCGCAGTTATGGAACGATACGCTATCGCTACGCATTATGAAACCAAAACCAAATGCCGCTCGCCTGATTTTCTTGTTTTCTTGCTGTTCTACTTAAAAACATTGCTTTAATACAAAGTTTGAAAATACAGATTTAATTGGTGAATGGTTCATTTAATTAAAAAAAGTAAAAAAAAAAATATTTAAAATATCAAAATGTTTATTGCTTTTAAATAAATAAATAATTAAAAACATATTGGTAGCACACCTAAAACTAATTCAGGAAAAGTGAAATGATGGCAAACAAATCAGGCCAACCCGAAATGACAAGTGACAGGAAAAGACGAAAGAGAACAGCTGATGCAGAGCCCTAAATCCCGCACATTGTGGTGGAAAATTCCTACTCAACCGCCATTGAAAGGACAGAAATGGCATTTCCCAGAATTATGGGGTCAAATGTAGGGGGTAACCGGCAAAAGTATTTCGCGAAAATGGGGTCAGCGGGTCTCACCAGATTAATATCAGCGTGGTGACAACATTCAGGATCAATCCCACGATGGTGATGAGATTGGGGGCCAGCCAAAGTGGCGTCTGGGCGACCAGCCAATTCCACCAGGGTTGCAGCAGGGGATCCAAGAGGCTGGCACTGAAACAGGAGTACTTGTGCTCGCTGAGTTTCCTCAGCTGCTGGGCACTTAGAATGTGCTTCTCCCGGTACGCGAGCAGCGGCATTTTCCTTTCGAGTTACGTGCGTATATCGAGAGTGCGAATCCCTGACGCGCTTTTCGCTTTTCACTTTTCACTTTCCTCTGACCTAGCGCTTTTCCCTCGCGCGCATTTGTGTACGTGTTCCTTGCTGCGCGTTCACGAGTGTGTGTGTGCGTATTCGAGTGCGTGAATCGGTTTTCCTTCGCAACTTCCACACGTGGACCGAAATGCTAGCGTAACTACGGCAAGCTTACGAATTTCTAGCTGAATACTGCGGTGTGGGCGGCTTTACGGTTACGTGGGTGCGCGCGGCGACAGTGCACTTGTATGTTTACTTAACAAAATTAACTTAATTGGACGACCGTGCCGTGCAGCAGTGTTGCCAGATGGCGAAATAGTATGACCAAATATCGATTATGCAAAATGCTTACATTTAGTGTTCCCCTAATTTGAACATGGTTCGAGCCCCGGACGCCCTGATTTTTTTCGTATTGTTAACTTGCGGCGAAACCCTCTTTATTTATGGGAGAATTGTTATAAGACCTGATTTTAAAAATGTCATACGTTGTTTGACTTTGTTACATATATGTAAGCTTATCAACACTGGCAAGGACTTTTGTTAGCCGCGTCACCCTCCATATGCAAAAAGTGGGACCAATCCAAGATTCTAACCACCCAACCTTTTAAATAATCCTTTAACCGCCAAAAGCAACTATTAAATTTTTATATATTATAGTTTATTAGATAAATCAGTTTGTTGCTTAAACTACGTCCTCAACTTAACATACCGTATGCAATGTTTCATTTGTGTATTCGCTTGTTAGTTAATATCTAAACCTTGTCATTTGCCTGCTTTATTGTTACGATTAGAATTTATGTTTAAATATGCGGCTACTACTGGTTCTGGGCCGAGAAATGTTCGCCACCGCCTGCAAATATGCTCAAAAAGTACAAAACTGTCGTGCGTCCAGCTGCTGGCCAATATAAATTGCGGCTTATGTAAACTATGGCCTATCAAAATTTATTTTTGATGTGTTGTATCCATGAGGCATCGTCGTCGTGTTTTTATAGTTTGGTGGATATTAGGAAAGTGTATAAATGTATTTGCTTCGATATATATATATAGATAAAAAAATAGGCTTAAAATGTTTCGTTTTAGCATTTTGTTGTTGTTTAAATTACTTTATATTGGCAACTCTCATTACATTTGTTTATGCATATAGTTATGTAGTTGAAAAACGCTTAAACGTGCAACTATTTCGCTTTGCTGATGACAAATAAAGGTTACACACAGCACACTCAACCAATTATAAATAGTAGTAGTATTAATTTATAGCACAATATGATATAGCAGCAGTTTGAAACTTTTTACACATGTCACAAATAATTCCTTCCACTTTCATGATTTATTTTCGTCCATAATCGAATTTTGGCGGTCAGAAGACGGGTTGCAAACAATAAAATAAAAACAGACAGCGCGCGACATTGCTAAATATTATTGACAATTTTAAATTTGATAATGAGGGGGCCGAATTTTCACATAATCGAGTTACAGTCGCCGCAAAAAGTGCATGTGCAGCAGGCCTAATATCGTTTGTTTTTTGCATTATGAAGTTAAATATTTAAATATAGATGCGTGCATGTATTCATATAGTAACCAGCGATGCAAAAATTAATTTAATTTATATGGTAGGCATTTACGATAATATAATGTAAATTTTGTTTTAATTGTCTTCAGCTTTGAGACATTTAGGCAAAAGTTTTGTTTTCATAGTGAATTGGTTTTTGTTTTCTATAAAACGTGTTAAGCATTAGGTTGGTTGGTAATTCGTTATCATATAATCATAATAATATAATATGTTTACTCGCATTGCAACGCACTCCGTCAAAACATCAAATAAACTAAAGAGCACATTTAGGGCGAATCCTCAACACTCGTTTCGAAGCACAGGACAAATATTCTCTTTATCGAACTTAAATTATATATTTATATCAAAAATCCGTTTGTTTACAATTATAATAATAGTGCCATCTGGTATGTAGACATACTTGCATATGCCTATAGTTGCGGTCAAAATATTAGCAGTGAGTTTTGCCTTTTGTCTTGAAAGATGCCAAAGAAAACTCGGATCAATTGCTTTTTTATTTCGGCCGCAGCTATACATACACAAATAAATTTACATATCTAGTTTAAAGTGTCACTCAGTTGCTATGAAACGATTTCGTAATATTATCGTATTGTATTGTTTTATCAAAAAACGTCAAAACGTAAAAAATGCATTCGGCTTATAGGCTTAAACTTGTGTTGTATACGTTGTCTACAGAATTTCTTGTCCACTTTTCTTGTATATAAATATTTAAAATTTGTGTTTAGTTCCTTCTTGCTGTTATTTGCAGTTGCTGATGATACTGTCTAATCGTTATGGGTGTGTGTGTGTGTGTGTGTTGTGGCTTCCGCGGGGGCGGGGGTTTTGTGTGGCGTCCCTCCTTAGATGTTATCTTATTATGAATGATATGGCGTCACATAAGTTGCTGGGAAGATTCCTTTCCTATTGCCGATCTCGCCGTTCCACCAGTTCTCATCGGAGCGATCTGTGACGGTGATGACATCGCCGCGTCTGAAGTCCAATTCCCCGGATTCCTGTGGCACAAAATCGTACAGCGCCTGCACGAGCATCTGCAATGGGAAATCGTTCGGGGGATCATGAATCTAATCTTATATTCTTGGCATCACTGTTTGTTTATAGTTCGAATGGGTGGGCGGCAGCATGACCTCAATATGTTGCGCGAAATATGTATTTTTAAAATGAAATCGCCTGACTCTCAGGCGGGCACACCCACCTCTTCAGGTATCATATCACGCAATTTGACTTCCTGCGACCGGGACACGCTCGCCGTCCGATGATATTCAACCAGTTCGTTGAGGGAGTTGAACTTGACCACCCAGAGGAAGAATTTGCTTTGGGCATCGCGCAGAACCTTGAAATGCTGAACGCCATCGGGGCATCTGCAAGATAACGAGATCGTTAAAGGTTTCGATTCCATGGAAGCCGTACTCTTGAACTCACTTGACTGATAAGGAGAAATCGCCGGGACTGGATTCACTGATGCGTATCAAAAAGGCGCCTTCGTGCTTATTCGAAAGCAGCTTCTCGGCATCAGCTCTTGTGATCCGACCATAGTACCAACTGTGCAGAAGATAATGATTAATCGGGCTTCGATGCAATGGTTTCTTGTTCAACTTACTCATGGTTTTTCATTTCTATGTAATTGCTGGGTATAAGGCCTTCCTTTCCATCCAGCTCGGCGCGGTACCAATTTGAATCATCCTCCATATTTAATATCTGTGAAGTACGTGGTTTTGTATAAATAATTCGAATGATTTCAGAGAAATCCAATGCTTATAAAAACCGATTTGTTTAATTCCTATATCTCTTGCTGTTTTTATTTTTATACAATTAATGATATTGGTTGTTATTGAAGATAAACAATAAATATTAGCATTGGGCCATTAAAACCCTCCCCAATAAACTCTAGAAGAAAAGATTTTAATTGCCGTCTTCTGTCAATTACACACCAGAAACGAAATGAGAAATCCGACCCCCGAAATACTTTGTAAGAACCTGCTTCTGTGGTTTCCATTTTTAAAGCCACACCCCTTTAATCGCCTCAGACAATGGGGATCAATCGAGACATTCTTCCGCTTTGTTTATTGGAGACTGGCCCGATTCCCCCACGGGTTTCGATAAACAATTGACAATTGTTTGTTGATTGAGACTCCCAAAACTGTGTCAGTGCGTAATCAACGACGGGGCAATGAAGATAGGCTTACGCCCTAGGAAAAATATCTGTTATCTCCCCTATTCTCATATCTGTTTCTTGCGGGACGCTAAAAATAAACAAGCATTATGGCTGACATGTGATAAGAATGTTAAGTGAAACGGGCGAATTTCACTTTTGGGTGTCTAATGGACTTTTTCCTAGCTGCCTTTTATTTTTCGCCCATTTCGCATGCCAGTGACACAACAAGTAGCCTACGTAATCGGTGACTTTTATGTTTTTTTTTTCCCGATTGCCAGACGAAATTGAAGTTTGCGTTTTTGCAAAAGTCTCAGCTGTTTGCTCAGCCACTGGGAATTCCCATATTCGAAGGTGCTGAGCTGAGCTTTTTATGAATGGATTGGTTGACATCGACCTCCACAGACCTGCGCCAAAAATTTAATATACACCAGCCTTCGTAATTTTTTTTTTTCGCCCCATGTTTGTTTTTCCCAAGGAAATCTTTTCACAAATACGTAGGAAATATTTTTCTTGTGTTAAGGTCAGGATTCCGCCCAAACAATGCCATTTCGTTGAGTAAAAGAAGCCTTAGGCAAATACGTTGTAATCTTTATGTATTTCGTTTATTTTCCGCCAACGGATTTTCCCTTGAATAACTGAGTTATTTGGCAGTTTTGTTGTTCGTCAAGTCGGAATAATGGAATGGCATTCAAATGAGTCACAACACTCCTGGTGATACTGTGTGTTTAATTTGAGGGGTTGTTTGGTTCCCAAAGTTGCAAGAGTCTCTGTGACTCTTAAATAATTTTTCCAATAATGGATCATTCACATAGACATTTTGTCATAAAATTATAACTATAATTGCTGAAAGTATTCAATCCCATTTATACAAATATAATCACAACTGGTTGAAATAGTCATACAATATTAATTATAAATGGTTCATATCACTTAATTGGGTATTACTTATATAACAAATTAACCAAAATCAAAATTTTGTTTAATTATAATATAATAAAATAGCCAGAACAAATATCTTTTAAATCAGAAACGTTTTCAAGAATTAATTTACCATAAAATTTGGTAAGTAAATGGTAGCCGAATGTCGAGTTAGCACTGCCTAATTTATTTTTTTGTTGACTAAAATTTTCGCACGTAAGATTGTGGGAGGGATTCGGGTGGTATGGGGGTGTCAAAGTCAATTCCAGCTTATGTAAAACTCAATTATTGTTTTCACTGTTGGCAGTGGCAGTGGGATTTCGCCCGCTCAGCTGGATCTGCTCCGACTAATTGGCATAGCTCCATAGTTCTAATCCACCCCCCATAACCGATTCCGCCCGCATCTGTCACCCAGACATTGTTCATCGTATGTTTATTTTATTTTTAGCTTGTTTCATTCATTGAACAACCCGCCGAGAAAAATTCATTTCCACGGATTCGTCGTCTATTACAGAAAGTTTTCTCGCGACCCTACAGACAGAAAAATCTTATAAAGAATAGCATCATTACAAAAACTGTTTGTGTTTCAGACATGGGTTAAACCAAATTATTTTTGTTTTCAAAACTAGTAATTTTAAATAAGCAAAAAATGTTAATGCATTAGATGAACTAGTCATGTCTATCCACATAACAAAATCATTAAGCTACTAATTGTTGCTTTAACACATATATCTAGTACCATGCTAATTACCCAGTTTTTCTTACATTTAGCAAGCCTTAGAGTTAGTCTAATGTGTCCAAGTATTTGTTTACAGTGCAGGGAATGTGCCTGGCGGTTGGATAATGCATAAATATTTCGCGGCGCTCTCGGAAAGCTGGCACGTAGTGGCCATGATTGTTATTATCAATTGTTTATTCTCGTATGTTTTATGTAATTACTAGAGAAAAATGCTTTGTAGTTTCGGTTTCTACGCTGCAAAGTGTCAAAGCGACACGAACGTTCACTTTTCGCAGTTTTTGCAAACGAGCGAAAGTTGAACTCAGAATCCCAGTTCGTGTTTTTCGTTTGTTATTATGATAAAACGTGGCTACTTTTGGTGCCACAAAGCCGTTAGAATTCAAGGTAGAGTTCCCAGAAAATTGAACTCCAAATATCGAAGAAATTCGCTGTTTGAAAAACCAGTTTCTGGAAAGAAACCAAACGAAATGTTTGATGATTCACGGGTGCTCCCTCTATCGCTGCGTCTGTTTGTTTGGGGGATCGGGAATCTTTTCAGATAAGGCCCATCCATCGAGTGACTAAGCAAAGGCAAACAAATGGCGTTTGAATCGCCGAAGATTATCCCCCCGAACATCGTTGGGTTTCTCTATACCGATTGCCGTAACCGGTAATAGCTGCAATAATAGTTGGGTTAAACGAACTGATTTTATCAGTGCGGAGTGTTGTTTACTGACTGATAAGCCCGGAATGGGGAGGAAGTTACATATGGGGGCTAAGCGTAGAAGTAGACCCGTTCTCTAATGGGCGAGAGCAACGCACACTCTTGACCTTCGAGGAGCGATAAAGAGGCTCTTCTTCGGCGAGTCATTGACACCATCAATCAGCAGCAGCAGCAGAAGCAGCAGCCGCAGCGGCAGTAGAAGCATATGGAAAAAATGCAAAAAGGGAAAAAACCTGCCATAGGACTGGGTTCCTACTGTGACTAACCTACGACAAGGTAGACACACCAACAAACTGCCGCAGTTGCAGCAACGAAAATCAGCTTACAGCGCGCCCTGGCAACAAGAAACCGGAAAATTCGCCAGCCAAAACAAAGGGCCTGGCCTAGGACAGCCAACACAGGAACACAGAAACACAAACACAAACACCTGGAAGGCAACGGCGGAAAAGATCGAATCGCAGCCTGGCTGCAAAGCCTTTTCCTTTGCTGCAAAATAATGCTGGCCAAGCTCAGATCGGATGTGCCACCAAAAGTTCCGCAAAAGCTGAGAATGGTACAGGAAAAATATATCACTGCCAAAAGGGGAAAATGCCAAATGTTTTTCTGTTTCTTATTTGCAGGTAACTGTGAAATATAATTAACTAATTAAAACAACTAAAGAGCTTGACAAAAGGCGGAAAATTATTGTTCTTATACTAGCTAGCAAACAAAAAAGCGTAGTTCCTAACGCTAAAGAAGAAGTTTCCCACAAGAATGAGTCTATATCAACGAATATAGTATTTATCTTATTTAAGTATTATATATTTTTTTTTTGTTCATAACCATTAGGGATTTCCTGTTAATGTAAGGGTATTTTATGTTCGGTTACTGACTGGTCGTAATCCTTTCGTGTTGTCTTTTGCGGATGCACCTTTTGAACCGCTTTTGCCAGCTTTTATGGAGTATTTATGCCACCACTCCTGTTTGTCGGGATTTAGTAACAAAATCCGTCTGGGACTTGGGATGTGGGTTAAGGCAACGACCTGGAGGAACTGCATCGCTGCAAATTATGCATGCATGTCCTGCTCCACACCCCGTACCCCGTACCACCTCCCTCTTGCCCCGACCCCCGCAAAGTCTATGAATAAATCCAGATATTATGACAATGGGGGCAAAAACTCACCTTTAGGATCTGAGTTTTGCGAAAACTCAGCTCGTCGTCGGCCGTCGCAGAGAAATCGTGTTTGGCAATCGCTTCCATTTTGTGTTGTTTATTGCTGCCGCTGTTTTGTGCGTAATTGCAAACGCGTTTTTGGAGATTATTTAAAAATTAGTTTTAGTTTTAGATTTAGTTTTATCAGCCTTGATGCACCGCACAAACATTCACACACACACACAGCATTCGAATACACGGGCAGGTCGGAATCTCTCCTCGCTCTCCGCTCACTCCCTCTCTTTCTAACACACTGTTTGTTCACTAGGGCTATGGAAATGGTTAGGAATCCGTGATTAGCTAGATCGCATTATATAAACAATAAATCATGGATATTCGGCAGCGCGTTTTCCTTGTTAATAATAATATGTCTGGGCAAGGCGAGAAGAGCGATTAAAAATACACCGACGACGACGACATTCCCAAGCAAAATGAGCAACAGAGAATGAGAATGACAGGCGGCGACTTGGTTTTCTCTCTTGCTCTCCTTTGCTGTGTGGGTGTGCGTTCGTGTGAGCGTGGCAGCGTTGCCAGCAGCTTGCAATTTGGAATTTCGAGGAAAAGCAGGTACCGCAAAAGCAATTAAATAATGGTTAACTACAAAATGTTTTGTTTTTAACTATATTTTGAAGGCCCTTGAAGTCCAGGATATTGGCCATAAATATAATTGGACAATCTAGGGCGTGGGTGCTTGCTGTTGGCAATGCTGCCTCGGTGACGTTGTTGTTTGTTTTATTTTTTGTAACCCCAATAAACACACACACTTGCACACGCGGCGCTTGTATTTAATATATGTACAAGTTTCGGCGAATTATTTTGGGCTTTTTGCGTAAGCAAACCTGCCGCTAGGTTTAGTTTTCAATAAGCGGTAATAGCTGCAAGCTTAAGCGACACTAATTAAGCCCGTAGAGCGGTTTTGGTAGACATATTACTGCTAAAATTTGTAATTCACTTTTATTTTCATAGCAGCGTGACCGTGTCAGAATCTCTTGAACAAACCTGTATAATATACTATCTTGAAATGTGGAAAATATACCACGTAAGATGGCGAAGTATTTGCCTACCTGGTCACACTCCGGGACGCTTCGCCATTTTAAAATACAAAACAGCAGACGCTTCGCCGGAAAAGTCAACATTAAGATCAAATTCCAACAGGACACTTATTTGCACCTCGTCTGATTCGTCACAGCCGTCGCCATGCAGCGCCACAAGGAACTGTACAAGGAGCAATCTCTGGTGCTGAGCCCCCGCAATCACTGCCAGCAGAACAGGGATCGATTGCAGGCGGCGCGCGCCAAAAAACGGGAGGATTGCTTCCACCAAAACCGCATTATTAGTTTAAGTCCCACGCCCATGAAGGTGAAGCCACCAGCGGCTGCCCAAGAAGCTCTACCCCAGGAGAACGTGGTACCCAATCAGCAGAGTGAGGAGCAGCTGAATCAGGTCAAGAAGCGCGAGGAGCAGCCAAAAGCCACTCGGCAGGATCTCTTCCTAAAACGCTACATGGAGTGGAAAGCCGCCAGGAACTTGCAGCACAAACAGCAGGAGCAGTCGCGTCGGGGACCAGCCATCAATGCAACGATCGTAAATCAATCAAAGGCCTTTCCCGAATCCCAAACATTTCGGGCTCCCGAAAACCTCGGTTCTACTAAACAGAAGGAAGATGCTCCCGTGTTTAAGCCGCTCAAACGTAACTCGCTCTATGTGCTTGCCAATACGATTGGCAAGGGCAAAGATAAAGTATCCAATACATCGATGGCAGCTCCCCGAGTGAAAAAGCCAGCAACTGCAAATAATTTTTCGGCGAAGTCGGCACCTTCTTTAGGCAAACCAGCGGCAGAAGATAACCCATCATCGAAAACAGCGCCTGCAGTCCGTCCTGTAGCATTGGCCAAGCAAAAAGCAGCTACTCCTTTAACGAAACCAGTGCCGGCAGTTCAACAGACCACCAATCCAGTGGCGTTGGCCAGGAAAAACGCAGCATTGCGAGCCCATTCCACTACGACTGGCATAACCAGGACACAAGCTACCACACTTAGGCCCAGACTTAATACTGCTCCTGGAAATGAGGCCAAAAAGCCAACCACCCTACCCAAGTCCACGCCAGCGTCGGTTAATAATGTGAAAACAGCTCCCGTGCGTCAACAGCCAACAGGAAGCAGTTTGAAGCCCAAGATGCCTCCGCCCAGAGCAGCAAGACTTCCCAATGTGATGTCACAGCCATTCGAGAAGCCTTCGGTACCCAGAGTACCAATCGCATCCCGAGCCAACATAGCGAAACCAATTCGTGGCGGAGGTGGAGCTGCGGGAAAATTCAAAGACTCTGCTGCAACGACCAGCAGAGCTGCCAGTCATTCCATGCGGATGAAGCCCACTAAGACAAAGGGTCAGTATACAAAGCTTCAGGAGAACGCGCGAAAGCGTCCGCTGCTTAAAGCCGAGTTACTGGAGGCAGCTACCTTGGAGTTACCACCTCTCACGCCGCTTGACGATACCCACAATCCCTTCCACGACCAGGCCACGTCGACGCAGTACAAGTCTAACAACTGCAGCGGCAGTCTTCAGGAGGCTTTTGGGGACAGCATATTGAGTCCAGTGGCCTCGTGCGAGAAAAAGAGCGACAGTACAGCCAAAAGGCAACTGCTGCCGGCAAGCAAAGCTGAGATTTCAGTTCCAGTAGCGAAGAAAAAATTCGACTTTACGCGTTACTCTGTTGCTAATTCGCCGGCGGAGGACTCGCTGATCTTGGATCCACAACAGTCAACGAGTAAGTATATTGTTTTTTATATTTTCCTAATCGCATCCTAACATTTCCCCTTCAGTTAAAGAAAACAATGGAGATGCTACTCTGGTGCCCGAAGGGGAAAAAACACCGCCCCGCCGTGAATCCAACGGAATGCCCAATTATCTCAGTCCATTTGTAAGCGTCTCACGTGGGAAGGTTAACTCGCGTTGCGAAAAGGAGAAGCGAAATAGCTTTTACCTGCCTGATGAGGAGCAACCTTTGGAAGTTCGTCGTGCCGTCGAATCCGTTCTGTATTTCCGACTGCAGCTAAGCAATGAGATCACGCGGCTTCAAGCTCTATGCAGCGAGTGGGAAGCGTATAGCAAAGAGAACGAGACGCGACTACAGGAAACGGGTGGTATTGACATGATCAATGTAACCATCGGACAGACGCGTCTGCTAACCACAAAGAAGATGATGCAGTTTAGCGGTCTTATCGATCGCTGTGAGGCGGGAGCCACCGGAAAGAACAACCGGACGAACGATGGCAGCGAGGACACGAAGCCAGTGCAAGCTGAGGATCTCGAGGGCTGGTGGGACATGCTGCGCCTGCAGAGCGAGAACGTGGACAAGCGATTTGAGAACCTGAAGCGTTGGCGGGCCAACGACTGGCTCGATCCGGATGCAGCGGCCGAAGAAGTCAAGCAGCCGAAACCAAAACCAAAACCGAAAGTAATTCGCAACAAGATTAAGTCGAAGGCCAAGCCCAGCAGCAATCTTCAGCAGTTCCTACGGAAAGCTCATGCAAACATGAAGAAGACCAAGGATGAGCCGGCGATAGAAGATGGTGTGCCATCCACATCCTCACGGCTCAGTTCTCCACGGGTGATCGTGGTGCGGAACCGCAGGTCCTTTTCGCCTGCCCGAACCGTTCTTCGCATGTCGACGGGAGAGGGACGTCAATCCATTGCACCCAATGCTCTGCTAAAATCAGCTATTCTGGCTGCTGCAGAACAGAATGCCGCCAAGACGCCGCCGCCTAAGCCGCGCACCTCCATTCTGAAAACTCCTGGCACTGTTAAACGCCAAAACCGAGGAGTCCTGTTCAGCGCAAAGAAAAGCGTTCGCCGCTTCCAGTTCACTTACGAAGAGGGCAACATCAGCACCGAAGAGAATGTGGGCACCGATAAGCTGGAGGACTGCGAGGAGGATATGTCACTGGAGGCTTCCTCAGAACGTCGATCCTTGGAAAAGAACGCCGAAACCGTTCATGAAAGCGGACAGACGCCCCGGAACTACATACTTCGCAATCGTCGTGTTACTCTACGACCTTCCTCGGAGTTTATGTAGTGTAATTCATTGCTATAGAGTTGTTTATGTGTTTATTTTATAGTTTAATGTTCTTTTACGGAACGTCCATTTAGTGTTAATTGTTTAAGATGTTTAATACACATTTGGCGTTTTTAATGTTTGGCGTTTGTTTTGTGAAAATTGAACCATATCGTAATTTTTATATATTATCTTAACTAATTTGATATGTTATAGTAAACGCAGGAATAAATAAATCACGAAATAATTTAAATTTTTGATCATGACCATTACTAAACTCTATATAAATATTTAAAGGTTTTTAAGTATAACAATTACTACATTTTTAAAACGAATTAAGATTGGTTGCTTTTATCACTCTTGTTGCATAAAGGCAAAAATATTTTTAATTTAAAATCCATGTTATTAACACATTTTACTTTGACTGGATGAATTATAATCACGACCAACGTCGAGGTCATAAATAACTTTTTTGATTTGAATCACTTCAAAATTATCAAAAGAAGCGAAAATATTTGTATTGGTTAAAATCAGTCTTGTCTAGTAGTTAGACTAAACAAATTAAATTTTAATTTTATATAAAATAATAAATTTGGAATTTAAAATAGAGGGTTGCGTCCGCGCTAAGCCGCTTTTCAATTCGTTAACCTACCGGATACTTTAGATTTTAGGTATATTAAAGTATTTTTTCAGTATCATTTGGTCATATTTCAGTATATTTGTTAGTGTAGCACGGTATAATTTAACGGTTCTGCTACGGTCCCACTGTGATTCACAAAAGTAATGGAAGACTACTCGACGGCAATTTAAATTTAATTTTGAATTTTCTGTTGCACCCGATTATAATTACGTACTGATAAGGCCGCCAAATGAAAGTGCAAATAGCAGTGATATCGTGACGCGCATCTCACCGCAGTGACTAATAACCGAACGACCGTTTCGTTCGCCCGCGACGCCCTTTGAGTTCAACGCATTCACATTTCCAAGTGCAGATTTTCTTTTTGTTTTGCCCGCAGTGACCGCGCACTGCAATCAAAAAGGGGGCAAGATCAATTTCTCGATTACCTAAAGCTCAGGATAAATAATAACGACTAATCATGGACAACAGTGGCGGCAATTTGGGTAAGGACTTGGTCATTTCATATTTCAAATTGAATTTTCAACTTCTGGTACAGCATGTACTTGCCATGGCAGTTGGCCGTCCACTGGCGCGCAAATGTTTACCCTGGTTTTTCTGCCCCCATTTTGCTTATTTACTCTGCTTCTCAGCAATTGCCAACCGGATTTATATATCTGTATGGCATTTCAATTTGCATATCATCCGCAATTTCTTTGAATTTCGATTTATTGTAAGTTTTTGCACTCTGCTGACGAAACGAAAAAGTGCTTTTAACGATCTGGGAACATCCCATGGAGCGGTGTTGCCAGACGGCTTGTTACACATATGGACATGTGCTCGTCTGTATTGGTGTTTTTATTGGGGTACAGTCTTGGGGGCATTTGTTTTTTGTCCTTAAAAGTGCCAAATTAGCATAATTATAGCTGTGGCAGATCATGAAATCAAGAGAAAGATTTATATAAAAGTCTGCCAAATCTCTTTAATGTTGGTTAATGGGCAATGTGGGTTTTTGGTGGGTGGCAAAAACGCGCACAAAATAATAACGTCAATGGGAGGTTGCCACACTACCGGAAAGTATTATGCAAAAGATAACGTACAAAAATACTTTCAATTTTAAATTTAGTCATAATAATAGCGTTAACAAGCTTTATTTATTAGCATGGTAGATATTTTTCAAAACCATAAAGATTTGGTTCAAAATATTCAACTACATATATCGATAAGTGCACTGCCAATCGAAAGCAGCCACCAGGTGGCAGCTCCGGCGTATAGCACATTTCAGGGTTTACGCAATTTCGAGCCGTAAGATTTTCCTCGACCTGTGAAAAAGGCCTTTTGCCCCCTGCCAGGACAGCTTAAACTTGACTCGTAAGTGCGGCAAATGTTCTTCCTTGAACAAGGCTCATCCTTATCCTGATCTTCAGTTAAAAGCGCCCCGAGGAAAGTTGGAATCATGTCACATGCATTTGCCGCTGCCGTCTGCCGGTCGACAACCGCCTCCATGTCTTTGGCCCTGCGCTGCAGCCGGCGAGCCATGAGCTCCTCGAAGATGCTGCGCCTGGCGGGCGCCACTGCCTCCTCCACAGCTTGCAGGGACTGGCAGCGAAACGGACTTCTTTCTGCCCCCCGGATTGGAAACACCCAGCAGTACCTTCGTCAGTATGCCAACGAGAAGAAGGTTTTCGAGCGCACCAAGCCTCACTGCAATGTGGGTACCATCGGCCATGTGGATCACGGCAAGACCACGCTGACGGCGGCTATCACCAAGGTCCTCGCCGACAAGCAGCTTGCCGAGAGCAAGAAATACAACGAGATCGACAATGCGCCCGAGGAGAAGGCTCGCGGCATCACCATCAATGTGGCCCACGTGGAGTACCAGACGGAGACGCGGCACTACGGTCATACGGATTGCCCGGGACATGCGGATTACATCAAGAACATGATCACCGGAACGGCCCAGATGGATGGCGCCATCCTGGTGGTGGCCGCTACCGATGGTGCTATGCCCCAGACTCGCGAGCACATGCTGCTGGCTAAGCAGATCGGCATCGATCACATTGTGGTGTTCATCAACAAGGTAGACGCCGCCGATCAGGAGATGGTGGATCTGGTGGAGATGGAGATCCGCGAGCTGCTCACCGAAATGGGCTACGATGGTGACAAGATTCCCGTTGTGAAGGGTTCGGCGCTGTGCGCCCTGGAGGACAAGAGCCCCGAGATTGGCAAGGAGGCGATCCTCAAGCTGCTGCAGGAGGTGGATAGCTTCATTCCCACGCCGGTGCGAGAGCTGGACAAACCGTTCCTGCTGCCCGTGGAGAATGTCTATTCGATTCCCGGACGTGGCACCGTGGTCACGGGCCGCCTGGAGCGTGGAGTGGTCAAGAAGGGCATGGAGTGCGAATTCGTGGGCTACAACAAGGTGCTTAAGTCAACGGTGACCGGTGTGGAGATGTTCCATCAGATTCTGGAGGAGGCCCAGGCCGGTGATCAATTGGGAGCGCTGGTGCGCGGCGTCAAGCGTGATGACATTAAGCGTGGCATGGTCATGTGCAAGCCGGGCAGTGTGAAGGCTTTGGATCAGCTGGAGGCCCAGGTGTACATCCTGTCCAAGGATGAGGGTGGCCGCACCAAGCCCTTCATGTCCTTCATCCAGTTGCAGATGTTCTCGCGTACCTGGGATTGCGCCGTGCAGGTGCAGATTCCCGACAAAGAGATGGTCATGCCCGGCGAGGACACTAAGCTGATCCTGCGTCTCATCCGGCCCATGGTTTTGGAACAGGGACAGCGCTTCACACTGCGTGACGGCAACCTGACACTTGGCACCGGCGTCGTTACCAGCACCCTGCCTCCCCTGACTGAATCACAGCGATCTGAGCTGACGGAGGGCAAGAAAGCGCGCGAGAAGAAGGTGGCCGCCAAGAAGTAGAGAGCTCCCAAACGCTGTCAGTCATTAACTAAAATCATATTCTTAAGCGATTTTTATGCATATTGTATAAGTTGTTGGCGCTCCAATCACAGTCGAGTAAAATAAAACCACATCCACTAAAGCTAAATTGGTATAATTCGGAAGATGTTTTTAAAATTTTATTCATATTTTTGGTATTACATATTTTGTTTATAGGTATTTCCATGCCTTTAAATGTTTTATTAAAATGTTGGCAAATACGAGTTAAATTATTGAATTTTTTTTTTTTAATTGTTACTGTTATATTTGTATATTTATTGCTTGAAGGCAATCAGGTAAATATTGCCGTAAAGAAGTTTAAATTTTCGCGGTTTTCTTCGGTTGCTTATCGCTCTTGGTATCGGTTTCAAAAATAGATAAGGCTGAAATCGAAATAGATACACTTTCAAGCACAGACTTTAAGTGTTGGAAGACGTAACTTTGCAACCGCCTTGACCGCAGCTGATGATAAAGAACATTTTGAAATTGAATTGAAAATTGACAAATATGAGTATTTACCGCGTAGACTATTTGACGGGTATATTCAAACGCCACAGAGCTTAATTCACCATGTAAATAATATCTATTTTCGCCCCCAGATGCCCTCGACGACACGGAACCGTTGCCCGAGCTGAGTTTCGATGATTTAATGGATCCAACGTCTGACAAGAGCTCCCAACACATGGAAATCGATGCTTTGGACTCGGAAGATGACGATCCCGACGGAGATGATCTTGCCGATCCAGCGAATGATTCACTTAACACACCGCAGTTCAAAAAGAACGTTGTGCAAATACTGGACGACAGGCGGTTACCCTCATCCGGACCTATCCTAAAATCGCACGCCATTAAAGTAGTTACTGCCGGAGTCTCCTCCCCGTCCAAACCGCAAATTACGGACGTCAAAATTCTGAACAAAGTGAAACCAATACCCATTAAGATCGGAAGCACTACCATTGCTAATACATCTACGCCGAGCACCATTACTAAGACCCTGAGCAATTTGACGCAAATTAAAACGCAAGATGGTCGGGTAATCTTCGTGCAGAAATCCGTGCCTAGCACACAGACCAAAGCTCCGGTGGCCGGGTCACCAGGCGGAGGAATACGACGTGTAATTACATCACCGGGAATCCAAAAAGCGGTGCTCTCCAAGGGCGTCACTTTGGCGAGTACGGGTCTGGTCAAGGCAGCGGTACCGGGCAAAGTAGTTACCCCTGGAACTTCAACTCCCTCCACCTCCACGGCCATAACCATCAAGGGCATTACACCGCTGGCCGGAAGCAGTGCAAAGGCCGCTTCTCCCGTCACGTCGCCCACAACAGCAGGCTCTACTCCCACCAAAATTCAGGTGGTGCGCACTGCCGATGGCAAGATCATCAAGCTAAACCAGGCTGGCCCCTCGCTACTCCTAAATGCTAAACAACCTGCAGTCACCCCGGGATCCTCTGCCACTACTACCGTGAAACTGTCGCCCTCGACCGGCAATGTGGTGCTTAGCAAACCTGCTGGTCAAGTGGTGGTAAAGACAGCGCCTCCTGCGCAAGGAGGAGGAGCCACACCTGGCAAAATGGTGGTGCAGAGCGGCGGCAAACAAATCCTGGTGTCCAGCAAAAACATCATCAAATTGTCGCCGAAAGCGGGTGCCACCAGCACGGTAACTAACCCCTCCAGCGGACAGACGGCTACTCCCACAAGCGGATTGCACACTATTCAGCTTTCCGGCAAGAGCGGAGTGCAATATGTACGAGTGCTGACCAATAACAAAAGTGCGGGGACGAGTACAGCTGGGACCGTGCCGAAGACCATGTCAACTCAAAAGATCAGTGTAGTTCGGACTCCGGCTGGCACAACTGCTGCTACTAGCTCGCCTTCCACATCTACATCAACAGCAGTAGCATCTACAGCAACGACAGCGGTGAAGGCAAGTCCTTTCATCGGCAGCACCAGCAAGATTGTAATGCGGACAATGGGCGGCAGCATTGTGCCGCTGCCTTCCATGCAAACGCTGGTCTCCAAGGTGGGTATTTGAGCACGTATATATTAAAAAACCCTTCTAATTCGAATGATTTCCCTGCAGCGAGCGGTTGGCGCCAGCACCAACACTGTGAACCCAGCCATTGGGGCCAACAGCAGCAGTGGCAGCAGTCCCAGTGGCAGCCAGGATTCGCTGCGCAAACACCAGATAAACGATCTCAACATACAGCTCAAGCATTTGGCCTCCGTTAGCAGTGATGCCAGCGATAGCAGTGATGCAGGTCCCGACGCCAAAAAGCCGCGCTACGTGATCACCATGCAGGGAAAACAGCAAGCTTCGCAGCCAACCCAGAAGTCCCTTGGTCGGCCAACGAACGCACAGCGTTTTGGGATTAGCAACATTAGTCCGAAAAAGATCTACAATTTTGTGAAGTCGACCGGTACCAATGGGGTCAAGTACATGATCTGTAACTCTGGAGTGCCCCAGTCTTCGACCAGTGCCATGCGGCGAGGATACACCGGCTATGTGGACAACAAAATAAGGCGTACGCTGTCCATTTCCTCGCAGCAGCATCGCCTCAAGCAGATGAATCCGCAGCAGCAGACGAAGCATATGCAACTTCAGGCTCAGGCCAAGCAAAGGATCAGGCAGCAGCAGCAACAGAATCAGCACCAAACTGTGACTGTCAAAGTTGACCCCACGCTACCGACACAGCCTCCAAGCCAGAAGCATTCTGTTTCCAAACCGCTCTTCGAAATACTGGAAACCACCGGCAACGGAAGCGGCATCAACAGTCGATGTTCTGGGCGGTATGACGTCGAGACGAAAACACTGCAACTGCAGCAAATCCCAGTGCTTAAAACTATACTGCGACTGTTTCGCCAATGGGGAATTCTGTCAGGATTGCACCTGCAAGGATTGTTTCAATAATCTGGACTACGAGGTGGAGCGGGAGCGTGCCATTCGCAGTTGTCTCGATCGAAATCCAAGCGCCTTCAAGTAAGTTATTTTAATCAGATGTATTTTGATTGATTTATTGATTTGTCTTTCCTTCATTAGACCAAAAATTACGGCGCCAAATTCGGGGGACATGCGTTTGCACAACAAGGGTTGCAACTGCAAAAGATCAGGATGCCTCAAGAACTACTGCGAGTGCTATGAGGCCAAGATTCCCTGCACCAGTATATGTAAATGCGTGGGTAAGTAAAAGATTAGAACTGTTTTCATATTTCATTAAACTAATGAAATCTTTTGCTCTGCAGGTTGTCGAAACATGGAAGATCGACCGGATGTGGACATGGACTCTTTGGACGGTTTAATGGGGGAGCAAAGGGTTCAAGAAAGGACAAAGCGATTGACAAGCATTCGCATGAGAATCGCGCAAATGTTTATTTGACGGACGATGTCATTGAGGCGACCATTATGTGCATGATATCGCGGATTGTGATGCACGAGAAACAGAACATGCCCATCGAGGACACAGAACGTGAGGTGATGGAGGAGCTGGGAGAAAGCTTGAATCAGATCATAACCTTTGCGAAGGAAAAGCATGACACTTCTCAGCTCGACGAGTCGAAGGCGGTTTCTTAGAGCTGCCTGTTTAGTCAGACTTGAATTAGTTTTAAGTTTAAAAGTTCTTGACCTTTTCTTGTACTTTATTCTTATTTTGGCTTTCTAAAAGTTGACCTTAAGTAAAGTGTACCATTTTTAAGAAAAACCCTTTATACAAAATGTATATATCATACATAGCAAATTTCAGATATAGGACCTTTTGATTGTGAAAAGGCCGATGCTCGTAGATTTTATTATGAAATGATTTCTTTTGATTGAATTGTATATAATATAACCCCTCAATAAAGTTGAATGTCCCCTAAACTCAGATTGAAAGACGTGTTTTGTTTTGTAGCTTGTTTATTCACCAACAACTTCAGTTACATATTTGTATTTTGCATTTGCATTGTTTCAAATTTATATGATGGGCGAGTATATTAAACTCAACGCAACTTCGTTTGGTTTTCCGATATCGGTATCAGCTTAGTTAGCAACATCTCTATGAAATACACATATGTCGAATGACTAGAGTATAGGTAATACATATTTCAGTTACGCGTATATATAGTTGGTATATTAGCTTCGTATAGTATAGCCTTGTATAGTATAGTTTTATATTCTACTTGGTCACCATTGGTCGTTATAGATAGTATATGTGTATATATATGTTTGTGTTCTGGTTTCTCCCGGTTCTCACCCTATAAACATGGCATGGCATGACATGAGTACACATAGTTTCAAGGTTTGAGTAAAAATGTGATAATCGTTTAAGGACTATAGTACATATAGTTAGTTAGTAGCTCGTGTTACGCTTATAGTTATTACGCCTGCTATCCATATTAAATACTCAGCTATATTTTGACTAATATGCTCGCGCTAAACTATAGGTTTTCCTTAGCGGTCATTCGAATACGAACTTTTGAGAGAGAGTATGTGTGTGCGGTTATCTTAGTTAGTAGCAAATACATACAGTAAAACGTTAGTTAATTCAGTTTAAGAATAGTTACGAGTATTTAAATACTGTGCACAAAACGCTTTGGTTAGTTGCTTTAGCATTGTTGTTGTTTGTTTGACCCCATACCAGCTTTTTTGGATTGTTAATTTCATAACACTTATGCAACATTTGAACATAGTTAGGCAACAATAACGACTTGATTACGAATAATGTACTATATATGTATGAGTATGCTGCACTATTCAGTTAGAAGCTATATTGTCTAATTCACACGTTTATATTGAATGCTGGGCCCCCGGCAATGGGGGCTGAAGCACTAAACTTACACAACAACTGTATGAAAACCGAACAAAACCTTTTGCTAAATATCATCATATGTACTTTTCGAGTTGCATACCCTGTACAATGTCTCTGTACTAAATACCTCGTGGTTATTATATGCAATTTCTGAAGAGTCCCTTAGTTAATAAAACGCGTGTTGCATGATTGAATTCGGCAATTCTTCAAAGCGTGAAAAGTCATAACGGACACAACGTAGAATCCTTCGTGTGCTATGAAATGTTTCTAGATTATCGGATTACACTGAGTAGTTCAAGTTTTACAACACTGGAACAACGGTGATAATCAGCAAGTATTTCAGCTATTCTTATATACAGTTTGTCAATATAACCTCATTGTATACCTGCGATTAACTACATTTTGTTGGCCTTCTTGTGCCTCCTTCGGCCTTTACAGAGTTATTTTCCTTTATTTTGTAAAGATAGGTGTTACTTGGGATATACGCGTGCAAAATGATGATTTTGTTCCCCACTAAATGGGGGATTAATTGAGCTTTAAAGTGGATTTTACATGATAACATTGATCACAACGCTAAAAGACACTTGCAGCCATTCAAGTGCCTTGCGGAAATATCCTTGCGATCCATTTTGATCTTGGTTAGTTGAGAACGAAGTCGGTAATACTTATGATGAAACGTTTAAATTTTGGGTGGAAATAGTTAAATACTTTACGAATAGTTTAAAAGGTTACAGTTCAAGTGAAATAACCAATTTAGCGATTTCATTCCCTACTATAAAACTGATAACTTAAAATGCAACTTTAACTTTTATACAAAATTGTGAGCGCGTATAAGACCCTCTATATATATTTTATTTTTTCCTATGGAATATATTTATTTTATATTCCGCATACCATTTGGTATCAAAAACCTAACAATAATTCCCTTATTTTGTCAGATAACTTGTGTGTGTGCTATTTGGGCAACAAATTTACAAGATTTGTCGATAATGCATATATATTTTATGGAACTTTTCTTTTAACTTTAACAACTTGAAATATGAAATTGATTTACTTAAGGAAGGTGGGCCTCCGCTTTGGAGTTACTTGCCCATTAATGCCGACTAATTGCCAAGCCGTATTGCCAAAAAGCTTTAGTGGGTTTTAAGGAGCGAATCAAAAGTAGTTAGAACCGAGAACCAAAGTTGCCTGGTTTTTCGGTTCTAAACCTGTAAAAAATTTCCCATGTGGACACGTTTGAATATTTTCGAAAAACTAAAAATTCAATTTCTATGATCGGCACGATATCTTTGAATTTACGATCCCTTTGGCCAAACGTCCTTCAAAAGACTAAATTATCAGCTCCAAATGAGTCGTACTTTGTGTGAGTTTTCTTTTTAATTTGGTTCTCAATCCTGTCAAAACTAATTCCCAGGGCCTTCTTTTTTGACAGATGCATCGCGTCGTCCCACGAGTGATGTCTTCCATGGAGACCCCTTCAAAATTCAGTCGTACAACTTTCGCTATGCCGACAAACCGTTCTATCCGGTTCAGAATTATCAGAGGCCAACGCCATCAAATCCGCCGGAAATTGCGAGGCAGCCATCCTTCCAGACCTACTACCACAATCCCCGGTTTAGTCAGGATCCCGAGTATTTGCCAGCGAAGAGGGGTCCACCCAGGGAGCACCAGAAATGTCGGCTACAGCAGGAATCCAAGTCTACGATAAGGCAACCCATTCCGGTGGCTCCGCAGACGCGACGTCCACAGGTGTCACCGCCTGTCACGGATTCCCCGCTTTTGAAACCCTGCTGTCATAGTAGGAAATACCAGAATATCAGAAGGGATCAGAGCACTGTGACTTTGAGCGACAATTGCAGCAGTGTCCTGCGACCCACTGGTGGTGCACTCCGTCGGGTCTCGACCACCACTTTTTCCAGGAGTTCAAGTAGCGAACTGGAAACCAAACGAAGCTCTTGTGAGATCAACATCAATATAAGGAAAGGATCACCGCAATCCGAATCCGAGGTGGACAACAATGTGAGCATTAAGATCGAAGCGGATGCCTATCTGCTCAACAATACGGATAAGGTAAAAATAAAGTCGAGGCAGGAACAAGGTGCTTCCGGATCATCGGGATTCTTTGGCATCGACAAGCGGTTGTCCAAGTTCAATGTGATTGAAACCAAACCGCGAACTTGTCCGGAATGGGAGCTCCGGCAGAAGGAAAAAGCCAGGGAGCTAGAGCGCCAACGCGAACGGGAACGGGATCGTCAGCTTCAGGAGGATCAGAGGCTGGAGCGGGAAAGGGAGCTCCAGGAGGAGCGGGAACGTGCCCGCCAGCGGGAGCGGAAACGCGAGGAGCTCCGCCAGTTGGAGCGGCAAAGGGATCAGGAGCGTCTCCTGGAAATGGAAGTGGAGCGCGAGAGGCAAAGACTGCGAGAGTTGGAAAGGGAAATGCAGCGGAGCCGGGAATTTCAGCGTCTCTGTCTCCTCCAGGAGCAACTGCGTCGAGAGGAGTGGGAGGAAATGCAACGGCAGGCCGACATTCAGTCCAGGCCACCGGTTGTAATGACCTCGCATCTGTATGTTCGTACCTCCGATGATCGATTGCCCGGAATGGCCTACTGTGATTTATCCTCACAAAGAACCCGGCGATCTTCCTCGCCAATAAGAGATCCTCCCAAGCGGAGGAAGAGAAGATCTTCTCCGATTAATCGGAGTGAAGGGGGTACAATATCAGCTACCCGTTCTCCTACTCCTCCACCGATTTCCATCCAAAATGGCAGTTCTTTAGCTCCAATTGATAGTACCACCTCCTATGTATCTTCTCCGAATGAAAGTCCGCATCCCTCCTCCAGTCGCAGTTCCACTCCCGTTCGTTATCCCCAACGTTCGTTATCACCAACTCCCACCATCCCAAGAAATCTGGATCGCACTAGTTCGGGAACTTCGAATGGCAATGTCCATGTCACGGTGACCACCAAAGGCATTCGGAGCAACTGCAGCGTGAGGCACTCCTCAAAATCTCGGGTGAGTGAACGCGAACCCAAGCAGTTGAATGGAACCCGACCTTTCGTTACCCGTCTGAATAATATGCCCATAAGGATTACTACTTCTGGAACCGCGGATACTGATCTGGCTGTCAGCCTGAACCACTTGAGGATTAGGGATTCATCTCCTTTAAGGACGGAAGGAACTACCAGTCGAGAACCACAGGATGCCTGCCGGGTGAACATCAACGTTTATGCGGATAAAATGCGCCTCATGCGTTTGTAAAAAGGAAAACTGTGGGAGTACTTGAGTGATTTCCGGAATAGATCATTTCTGGTTTGAAGATTTGATCTATTATAGATCATCTCTGGTTTAAAGATTTGATCTATTCCAGAAATCATCCCCTTACATCCTCCATTTCCTTGCACCCATGAAGTTGTATATTTTGTTATTTCACCTTCACATGTTTTCAGTCCAACAAAATCCGAAAAGAATATACAAAATTTCTAAAGAGTGAAGTACAGGGAAATTATTTCTATTATATATACTATAATATATACTATAATATAAACTATAATATATACTATAATATATACTATAATATATACTATATAAAGTATAACTCTCTCCTTAAAATTCCCCCATTAAATCAATGCAATTGCGGGCGTCTGCTTATTTGATCAGCACTTAAACCTTCCTTGCTGGGAGTAGAGTTTTCCTGGGAAAGACTCTTACAAGCTTCTTCAGCTCTTTGTTTTCATCGCTTCAGGTGTTTTTGATGCGACTTTCAAAAAATAGTGATAGTTTCCAAACCTTTGGCCACTAAATTGCCTCCAATATGTAGTAGGGTTCTATGGTTGCTCGCTTTTTTCATTCCTACACAAAATATTCACTTACCCGTCTCATCGAACAATTAGCTCTACTTTTAGAGATCTATTTTCACTCAACTTTCTGTTTCATTTGTAGTAATTTCTTCTGATATTTATGTGCTTGACTTTAACGTGTGCAATTCTTTTGGGGGAGAGGTGACTTCTTGATATGATCAATGGAATATATATAAACACTATAGTGCAACTTGGGTAAAACATTGAACAAGTATAACGATTTCATTTGGAAATTCATATGATATTACTGATATTGTTGGTTGTGGTTACGGTAACTTTCTTCTGCTTCAATCTCTTCTTTTTTTTTAGATTTTATTACCCATATCTTTTTTTTTTTGGATTTTTGGTTGCACTTTAGCAACATTGCGTTGGAGTTAAATCGTTAGCTTATTCATCTTCGTCGTAGTTTTGGTAGGTGACGTAACGTACCTGAGCCCGATCGCGTCCATAGATCAAGGACTAAAAGGACAAAGAAAGTAGGTAAAAAGTTTGGGTTAGTCAATGGTTTTTTCTTATAAACAAAGATTCAAAACATGCACAATGAAACTCAGGCGGCGCTTTAAAATAAAAACTAAACATTTTATTACAAACAAATTAAGCAGAACTTACGACTAAAAACAATGATAATGACTAATAATACGAACAAAAGTATAAAACTAAATGTAAACTAAAATCTAAGTAATTTGAAGAGGGGCTCAAAGCCTCTCGCTTTCGAAGGCTTCATTCGTCCTGCCCGCCTCGGGATCCGAATCGGGAATGGTAGTACCATGCATGATGGCCGGGCAGGATGCGGTGAGCTGTGGGATTCCCGAGCTGTGGGAATCCCCTGAAGCGGCAGCGGCGGCGGCAGCAGCAGCAGCAGCTTCTGCCGCCTCCCTGGCCATACGTACCTTCTTCTCGTCACTCGTCGGCGGATTCTTGAGCAGCGTCAGCAGTGGAGCGTACATAAAGCAGAGGATGGCGATCCCGAACAGCATCCACTCGAATCCGATGCTCTTCACCAGAGATCCCGATAGAGCGGGACCCACGGCAAAGCCCACGCAGAATGCCACATCGCCCAAGGCGTAAACACTGCCGTAAACCGCCGAGTGCCGGATGTCCACCAGGTAACCCAGTTCCGGCATCATCGAGGAGTCCACCATGCCAATGGCGAAGCCAAGTCCAGCGTTCGGGATAATCAGGTGGGTGATCGAGGTGGCCATGGGTATCTACAAAAATTATAAAACAAAAATATTTAATTTTATTATAAATTCAAATTTGAATTTAAAATTATTCGTTCATCTGCAATAGCAATATTTTTCTAGTTTATATAATATTATTCTATTAGTATCTAATATCGATTTTTTCTGACATTCCTTTAAATATTTTAAAATATTTATCTATTGATAATTTTTAAGTTAAAATTCCACTTACAAATATCAAACATCCTCCGATGATAATCAATCCCAAGCAGGCGGCAAACCATCGTCCAATTTTGTGTCCCAGCGGTCCGAAGAGATTGGTGCCAATCAGATAGCTAATGGAGGCGGGCAGGAAGGCCACGCCCTGCTCCCAGCGGGTGGCGCCCATGTTGTCCACCATCCAGAGAGGAAGCGACGGCTCCAACATGGCGATGCCCATATTGGCGAAGGTGATGGCACCAGCAGCGATCAGGATGTAGGGATCGCTGATCAGGCTCTTCAGCGAAGGTGGTTCCGTTTCCGCTTTCTGGATCGACGGTTGCAGCATGAACAGCTGGAGCAGGCCATCACCCAAAGCCAGAGCAGCCAGGATGAGGAAGGGAGCCGACTTGCCCACGAACTCGTACATCACCCCGCCAAATGGAGGACCTATCAGCACTCCCAAAGCCAATCCACCCAGTGCTATTCCCATGGCGTTTCCACGCTCCTTGTCGTCCGTAAACCGATCCGCCAGCATTCCCATTCCGGAAACCGAGGAGCAGGAGGATCCAATGCCCTGCAGAGCCCTCGCCACAAATAACACCAAATAGGAGCGTCCGAAAGCGAAAACTGTTCAGAAATTATGAAAATAAGAAAAGCATTTAATGGAGTTTGCCAGGGAATATTATTTTAATTAGTGAAACTTACTGATGGTCGACAGAAACATTATCACGAAGCCGGCAAACATGGGAATGCTATAGCCAATGCTGCACAGGAAAAAAAGAGTTTTATTAATTTTGATTTAATTTAAATAATTTTGTTTTGAAAAAAGAAAAACTTAAGATCAGAAATTAGGATCCACAAATAAAATAGGAATAAAACCAAGAATATCTTAAAAAGGATTTAAGTTTGAAGTTTTTATTCTAGAACAATTTAAAAATGCAATTCTGTATAACTTCATTAATATTTAGTTGAATTAACCTACCGATGAGTCAGGGGTCCTACAATCGGGTTGACCAGCAGCTGGACGAAGGCCTTGGAGGCGAAGAGGAGTCCCACCTCGACCGTTTCGCCCACGAGTTCGTTGTGCCGCTCCTCCAGTTCCCGGTAGTAGGTCTCGTTTTCTTTGGATTTGAAAAAGGATTTAGGCTGCAGACTGGTGGCCAATTAGCGGGTGAGCGCGACACACACTTACCCTCCGGACTCAGCGTGGAGATCTCGAGCGGAGCCGCCTCGCTGCCATCCTTGTTGCAAGGACACGGCGTCGGAAGCGGCGGAACATTGGAGGTGAGCGGGGTGCGGGGAAAGCTGTCGAGCGGAGCATCCGGATGTCGTATGTCGTACAGGAACTCGGGTATGATGGGCACTAAGTGGGGGGGGATTGAGGGGGTGAAATACAGAAATGGAGAGCCTTATAATTTGATTGAAACAAAAAAGAATTTGCTCACAATTAACCTAAACGCTCTTGTGCCTTCGGGCAATTTTCGCCCAGGCCGACGGTTGGTAATTGCCTTCTCTTGGCCCCAGAAAGTTTTGTAATTGCCTTGCCGTTGGCAGCCGAGATTGCCCCAACCCCCCTTCCCCCTCACTTCTAATTGAGTTGCAACCCGAAAAAAAAGGAAGAGTGGGTGGTGAGCAAAAATTGCGCATACGCCACGTTTACAAACGATGCGTTTAATGGACTCTCGGCTGTCTAGCATAAAGCCACATGCAACTCGGGCCCGAAAGCGCCTCCTCTGAAGGGGCAAATTCAATTTGTTTATTGCATGCTTCGACTCTGTTTATATTTATTATCAACACCCGGCGAACTCGGAACTCGAGTTCTCGACTCTCCGTTCCGCTGTAATTGCATTTCCTGCCAAAGTGCTAGGCCGAGGTCAGAGGTTGGGTTTTACGAAACTGGTAGGTTGAGTTACAACTTTCAATTGAGTGGAGTGTAGAGTGAAGAACGGAGCGTAGTTTTGAAGTATTGTTGGGGTAATTTGTTTGCTTGTGGAGCCAGCTATTCGTGGTTATCGTAGTGACAGCCCATAACCATATATGTTTGGCCTGCAATCCTGGTGGATTGGGGCTTTAATGAGGGCCATTCATGCTCGATTTGGGTTTGGGTTTACTGAGATAGATAGCCCGACTTCAAGTTCTCGTATTAGACCGTGCCGCCACGTGACAAAGTTCAACGAAAGTGGAAGTCTCACCTGACCTGGAAAGGCATTCCTCCATCAACTGCCACATATGTCGGCCAAATGGTCCAACATGCCATTTGTCGCTGCCGAATGACATGCAACCGGAAATGTATGCAAATTTGGCCACATCTACCTAATTGGGGTTAACCACTTGGCGATTAAGCAGCGAATTTTATTCCCCAACAAAAATGTTGTCTAGTAATCCTCAGCCCAGCAACAGAACCAACAACTCATTAAAATATCTCCGCAGCCTTTGACATAAAAATGATAATTCAGAAAAAGCACGTGCAGTCGGGGTTACGGGGTGGGTTGGGTTTTCCTTTTTCTTTTTTTGCGGAGTGTAGGCTGTTTGGGGTGGCAGTGGATTGCGATGGTGGAGCAACGGAAGTCACTCAGTCGCTTCGGTTGCATTTCGCGTGTCGAAGACACTTAAACCGCAATGCCAAAAGGAAGGCGACTCGGGCAGCTAGACAAACAAACAGCGGATATCACTGAATCAGGGCTTCGGGAATAGCGATAGAAGGATAGGATATCAATGATTGGATAAATAGAGGAAATTTCAGGATACTTTTGAAGCAATTGTGATATAATAAGTCACTTCATAAGGCAATTTCGATAAGCTTCCATTGAACGTTAAAATTTCTAGTAATATATTCACCTTGTCTTTTGTATACACAACTTTTTCTTTTACCATTCTAAGGTTTTATTCTTTTTTTCCCAAAATTTTGATATATATTTGGCAATGATTTAAAATTGTATTTGCATTTTAAAATCATTCAATTGAAAGCCTAGTTATATACCTTATATAACTATCTATATTTTAGAAGCCTTGTAACATTTCCATCTCCTGCAGCCCTGTGGCGTCCGCAGGTCACCCAGATACATCGATTCTACATGCCGGGCGACACTGGTTTTCGTTTTCGTCCGTCGTCAAGCCAAACAGAAGCGGCAGTGAGGCGGCAACTGGCAAAGCAACCAGTCATCCGCCGGCGACGAGGAAGAGGACAACTCAGCACCCAAGCCAGAAGCCAGAAGCCAGAAGCGCCGAAGGACGCCTTTGTTGATCTCATTAATATGCACAGGATTTAATTAGCCATAGAATTTAGGAGTGGGAGTGAAAGTGGGTGAGCTGGAAAATGCGACCCATTTGGGAGTCGGCCAGCAGGCCGCTGTTTGTGCGCTCCGTGTGGCAGGAGACGATCGGGAGGCGCCACTTCATCCTCGACTACGAGCCGCGACAGAGGCAGCGCTGGAAGCGCCAGAAGACAAGACTTAGAGGTGACTATATCTGCTCCATTATTATTTATCTTATAGGGAATTATCAATTGTTTGGTTATTGATTGAAGGCTCATTATATTTTGTCAGACTTTACAAAAATAGATGCATTTAGATTGCTATGTCTGATAATCCTTGATTTCAGATAAAAATCAAATAGTCATTTAAGATCTGCTTAAAATCTAAATACAAAATGGTTTTCTTTTAATTTATAGTAATCATTAAATGATCATATTGTGGTTTAAGTTCCCTATTAAAAATAGAAAAGTAATTGGAAATAATTTAGATCCTTTTTTATCCAATAGGTAACTACCAGCAGACGCAATCCTGCGAGATCTTCGAGCAGTTCCCGGAGGAGAGTGTTGAGTACCTGGACGAGTACCTCCTGCTGGACGCCACCAAGCTGACGCTGCAGCAGCAACAGTCGCTGCCCCCTTTGGGTGGGCGGCCCAACCCCACCCCCTCGACGGGTGGCGGAAGTCGAGGGGAGCAGCGGTACAACAGTCGCCAGTCAAAACGAAGAGCTTGGCTGCTAAGTAGAGGTAGAACCTATCACCTGGATCACCTGACAGATCATCAATCGCGTCGCAGTTCTCTCCAGGATGCAAATAGCTCACTAACTACAACCGCCAATAATCCCGAGGAGCGCTTGGCTGAGAGAGTGCTCCATTGGCTGGATTTGGCAGGGAGAACGGATATAGTAAAGGAGGTGGTACCAAGTCCACCGGCCACCAGTAGTGCCCAGTTGTCCAGATCTGCGCAGAGGATGCAGCGCAACCAACATCGAAGTATGAGTTTGAAAAGAGTTGCGGCGGCGGCAGCGAATCACCAGAGATCGGTGGCCAGGAAAGTCAGTGCCAAGCCACCGCCCTCCGCCCAACCGGTCACCACCTCCTCCTCCGCTCCGTCCGCCTCCAATGCCAAGCCCATAACCATTATCTTCAACAAGGAGGGCGTTCCCGTGCGACTCAATCGACCCGCTCGCAATATCGACTTGTGCACCCTGAGCAGCAGTGCCAGCACCACGCGGAGATTGGCGGGTCAGTTGGCCTCGGCCCGACTGTACAGTGGAGCCAGTGCCTCCTCACCGCTGCCGGAGGACAGCCGGACTCCACCGCTGAGTGGCAGGGGCATTGGGGCATCTGCCGCCTCCGATAGCCGCAAACAGCTGCACATCTTCATGCCCAGTCTGCCCAAAAAGGGTTTGTTGGCAGCGGGAGCTGCGGCGGGAAGTGGCATTGGAAACTCTGGAGAGGATGCCCTCAGCACCAGCTTCAGTGAGCTGTGCCAGTTGTAGTGGGTTGAGTATACTCAGTAAAGTCACATTTAATTGGTTGAGAAAGTTATGATAGAGTTCAAGTTTTATTTAATCTTAACTAAGTATTCTTTTTTATGGTAATCTAAAGTTCTTTGCAAAATGTTTATTTATATTTGGAAAAATAAAACTACAGAACCCAATTTTTAAACCAAAAAATAAATCTTATTTCAACTAAATTATGAAATATTTTTTGAAAGTTTATTGTGAAAGGCCTGTGGAATTTCTGGCCTTCATTTTGAACAGGATAAATAAATAAAAGTTTGAAAGGTTCATTGACATTTGGATGACTTAAGTGGTTAACTTGGAGAACTATCTTTGCGATTCTTAAGATTCCCATCCCAAATGCTAAACTTAGCAAAAAGTTTGCCACACGCGTTTTCCTTGAAGTACAGAAAATGTCTGTTTAGAAACAACTAGAAAAAGTAAACCATATAGACACGGAAAACCCAAGACCAACTCATTAACATGCTAAATAAAACCTTCAAGTTCGCCAAAATAAATGGTAGGTAATTTGGGAATCTTCGAATATTGTATACCTCTTGTATTGTAATTAAGCAGAAAAATCTTATCATATTTAAATTTTTTTTGTTAACCTAAGCTACTGCTTTCCCTTTCCAATATTCCTAAAGAATTACGATTTATAGGGTATTGTGCTTTGGAGGACTACTTATTAATATCGTACAATCTTTTCTTGGTTTTATTGATTTTCATTTTTGTTCCGTTGCCATTGAAAGTTTCTTTTGTTTGTTTCTTTTTATCGAATTTGGTAAGTTTATTTTTGGATTACTCCGAAAAGTCGGCGCCCTGTGCCACGCCCACTTTCTTTTGTTTTGATTTCGGTTCTGACTTCTTTGTTGATTTTTTGCGATGTTTATTAGCTGGTGGGCGAAGTTGTTCTGGGGTGGTTCCCAAGTGAAAGGAGCGTAATCAATGTAATTGTGGAAATATTGCATGTTTAACAATGGAATAAAGTTAAAGTTAAAGTTTTTCCCTAATGAATGTGGTAATTTTGCGCAGAAAAAAATCCAAGTTGGGTAAAGGTAGCAGGCATTTTTACTTAATACAGCAGAGTAAACAAATTAAAGTTTCTTAAGAAACATTACTATGCTTAAAAATATTTATTTTAACTTTCTGCGCTTACACTTTAAATAAGCGGAAGAAAGGGTTATTGAAAAAAAATCTTTTTGGATTTTTTTTTGAGAATATTTTCCCTAAGATTTATTTTCTTGGAAACTATTTTTATAGCGTTTAGGAAAGATAAAACGTATACAGTCGTAAACTAATTATGGACATTACATATCCATCAGGGTAATGGGACAACAACTGTCAACCGTTGCGAAGGAGATTCCTTGGATATCCATCAAGCGGCATGCAAGCAACACCCAAATCAAAACTACCCACCTGCCACACGTGGCAAGTTGTCGTTGTCGTCGTCATATTATTATTTTATGACTGACGCGTCGCTATTTAGATCCGTTTTCAATATCCCCAAAGATACACAGGAAATAAAACCAAAAAAAAAAGGAAATACATGGTTAAAATCATCACATCCCCTTTACAAATTTGCAAAAATGGTTTGCTGAAAATTAATAAAAATTCGCTGAATCCATGTCCATAACTTTCCTAATTTCAGTCAGATTTTGAAGTGGCATTACTCTAAAATTTTGTATTTCAATTTACATGATACAACCCCTTACCAAATTTCTAAAAAATGGGTTTGCTGAAAATTAACGAAAATTCACTAATTCCAAGTCCATAACTTTCCTAATTTCTGTCAGTTTTTAAAGTTGCATACATCTAAAATTTTGTATTTTAATTCTTTAATTAACTGTTGTTTATTTTTTTATTTTTGCAAATTTGCTAATAATTAAGTTTTGTTCCCTGTGCACTTATTAAAAATAAACTGCACTAGATGGTGGGGGATAAGCGCAAGGCTCAATGAGTCATTGCGTCTGGCATGACAGCGAAACGACACCGAGAAAGCCGCACGATTGTGACCTTTGAGCAAATGGGTCTGGTTGGGTGGCAACTACGGCCTAAAGCCAGCGGAAAAGCGCGGGGAAAACTTTGTCTGACTTCAAGGCAAGCCAAAAGACAAAGGGGGAGCAATTACGTTTTGGAGGCAAAAACTTTCGGGCCGCCTGACGTTTGACTTTTGCGCCGTTTCTGCGACGAGTGAACATCGGAAAAGAATGAAAGAAAATGCGCAACAATACTTGGTTTTTATTTGGGAATGCCTGCATAACAGGGCCAAATCGGACTTATAGCCAAGCCATTTCGCCTGCCGTGACTTATTCGCGTTTCTGCAGCGGACGCGGCAGGTTCTACCGGCAATTGGCGTTCGGCTTTTCGCTAACGAGCAAAGTTTTCCACGGCGCACTCTAATTTTCCGGCCATTAGTGGCATGTCCACCGACGAGGATTCCCTGGGCAGTCCCCTCAAGCCGGCCACGCCCACTCCGGGTGAACGCGAGCGGGAGCGGGAACGTCCGAGGGGCGGACGATCCGGAGCAGCGGATCTGCTGCGCCATCAGCAAAGTTTCGAGGCGCGATATAGTAGCATTATCCAGAAGCCAATCTGGGAGACGAGCATCAACAAGGATGTGCTGGAGCGTCAGCTGAATGCCTATTTTCCCTTCTCACGGAGTGCATCTCTGTCGAAGGATGGTTCTGGAGGATTCGATCAACTGCTGCCACCTTCCACTGGAGGAAGTGGAATGAAAACCCGATCCCTGGCCACCACGCCCACCAGGAGGCCGGGTGCCTGTCTGGAGAAGCTGGAAACTGTGGATGTGGCCGCCCTCGATCAGAAAAAACAGGGGAAATAGCTAACGAAGTCCCAAGGATAAAGCTTGCTCATTCATTGTGATGTCCGTAAGGTTGAAAGGCAATTTTTTGACATTTTTAGACTAAGATAGGATAAGACGCATAAAGCCCTGGATTTAAAATACAATCAAATATTAATCATTTGAAAAATTTGTGAACAAAATTAAGTATAAACCGATAAGTCGCATATTCGAGTGCCACAATTTCTATCGACCAAAGAAACATATCATGAAACATTTTTTATAATTAAGATGTAATGGGATACCCAACTTTATTAAAATACATTGCAAAGAAACACAAATTACAGACGGCATAAATGCGTATATTATAATGATATTATCAAACTATCAAGTGACTTTTTAAATATACCTACTGTTCAATTTAAAGTTTAAGAAACTAAAATCAAATATCTATAAAATCGAATCGATAAAATAGATCCATGAAATCAAAAAGAAGTCTAAGGCTTCTAAGACACAATTTTCAATACAACTTTTTTAAGTATTTTAGGTAATCCAGGAAGTCTAGCAATTTCTCTAAAACCTACTGTCTATTTAGCACCCCAAAAGATTTGTCTGCAGCACTAAAAAAAATCTATTTGCATAGTTCAACCAATGTCAATGTAAAATACACGTTTTATTCGCTAAGGATATGACCATATCCCCGGATCAAAGTGAACCCTATTTAAGCTACTATTATTCAATCTTCTTCAATAAAACAAAGGCTTATTGCATATTCAATTTGGTGTCGAGTCAAACGGATAAGGCCATGACCCATATAAATCTCCACAGGCGTCCTGGCTAAATCTAATTTATGAGGATATTATGCGAGAAAATTCTAGGAGGGGGTGGGATGTGGGAAAATAAGGGAAATGGGAGGCCCCAGAGATCAAATGTAATAATCAAATGTATTTGCAGCAATTTTCGCTTCAGCACCTTGAGCGCGAAACGAGAAAGCACTTAAGTGGAAATGCCGCCAGTCAAACGCTAAAAGCCCAGCCCCTTCCTTTTATCCTGTCAGCCGGGGAAAACTTCCTCCATGGAGCTAATAGTTTTTCCACTTTTCCTTTGACTTTCACTTCCGCTCGCTCTCTCTATCTCCTTCTCTTTCTCTTTCTCAACAAGTTGCTCAAGTGGTTCGGCTATTTCCTTTGGTTTTTGCCCAACTTGTTGATTTAAATTCATGAACGTTTGGCACAAAGAAAAATCTCGTTTCTGTTTTTTTTTCGGGTTTTTTTTTCTCTCGACTGACTGTGCGTGTATTTGTCAGGCTGGAGGACCGGAGAACCGGAGGATTCCCACTCAATGTCCATGTGTTTGGCCAGACACTTGACATAAGCACTTGGCCTGGACACATCCACCCTCCGTGGGTTTTCCCTCCGTGGGTTTTCCCTCCCTGGTGGTGTTTTCCCTGGTGGGGTTTTAGTGTCAACTGCAGCCAGGGTCTTCCAGTGCGTGTCCATTTAATTGACTGTCGACGGTTTCAGCACTTGGAGCTGCCCAACTCAGTCTGCTCCATTGGTCATCGTAGGTTGTTAATGACTAAGCAGGGGCACTTCAAAATTGATTAGTTGTTGTTGGCTGGTATCTGATTTAATTGCAGGCTTTTCCACATAAATTAAGGGTGCACTAAGTAAACGTCGAATGATCAGGAAGATGGAAATCCCTGACTTGAGCTGCATGTGATTAATTAGAGTTCGTCTAGTATTTATTTCAATTGAAGGGTTTAGAGTTTAAACTAAAGTTTACCTATCTATTGAAGTAATCACTTATTTTTCTTTATCATAGATATACCAATCATCTTATATAAAAATACATTTACTTTATCTAGAAATCCAATTACCCTTGCTCAACCAAAAAAAAAGAAACCTCAGCCTTTAGTGTCTTAGCGATTGATGGACTGACAAAGACCATTCGCATTGACAGGAAGGCGTTCATTAGCTTAAGTGCCGCACTGTGGTAATTTAATGGCACCACTTTTCCCAATCCCCTGAGGAAATGGACAATTTCCAGGCGATTGGCTGCCCGGGATAAGCAGTCCCCCCAGAGATAAATGCTCATGAAATGCTAATGGCCAAAAGGGAAAAGGATTTATGTGGAAATAAAATATATAAAATACTAGGGAAACCAGGTGAGAACTTACCCACTGTGGTCAGCAGCATGTTGTCGAGCAGCAGGGCTATGGCCACGATGACGAGCACCAGGCGATTGGATCCCCGCCAGCTGACCATCCAGGACTTGGCGGCGGACCAGGACCCGGCAGCGCGTGGATCCTCCTCGCGGTACTGATCCGCTGGCGGCGGAGCCGTTCGTCCTCCTCCGTGTGCCTGCGACTGGTAGGTGGGCGGTGGCGGCACGGGCGGCTCCTTGCCGACGCCCAGAATCCCACAATCCGGCTCCATGTTGCCATTCTGCTGATTGCTCTCCAACTGCTGCTTGAAGGGATTCTTGCTGGGTGTATTGCTACTGGCTGCGGGATTCTGTTGCTGTTGCTGCTGCTGCTGCTGCTGCTGGTTGTTGGTGGCGTTTATGGTGAAGGAGGTGGTCTCGCTAATCTCCGACTGCTTCTGGGGCGCTGTGCTCTGCGTGTGTTTTCTTGGTCCACCATTGCCCGCATCGGTCGATGATTGCATTGCGTCGCTAGCCGCTGGTTGCTACGATGGAAACGATGGACGGTAAGCCGATTGTCTTCTTTAAAAATGTAATCAAATCAAGAGTAAGCCGCTTTCCCATTCCCCATTGAAATCCCACGCTCGCCTTATGCCTCAATGATTTTCGCTAATTAAAAGTAAATTACACGTCTTGGTAAAAAAGTATCGCAGCTTTCACACGCTGCTCCGCGACTCTAATTAAATCATACGCAATTTAAATATTTATTTAATTGCCTCGACACCCCATTCCGACTCACAAATACACGGGGCGTATGCGCAACATTTGTCATTGGAACATTTGGCGTTGCCTAATGTCAGGCGCAAATTGAATTTGCCTGCATAATTCGTTTTCGGAAGTCGCACACAAAAGGGAACCCAAAGGCAGACTTCTTTAAGTTTTCGGTTGTAAAATTGAATTAACCCAGTCTTATTAGCCAAAAAGGTCTCGTAATTGAAGTAGGCAAAGATGAATCAAGTTTTCCGCCAAAAGTCTTTGCATAATGCCTTCAATTTGCTCTGCAATTGAGACATCAATTGATGCCTGTCCCAGGCGGACAATTGATTGTTTATGACGTCTCCGCAGAGACAAAGTGTTGTCATTGAATGACAAATGGAAAGTATCTGATAAACAGTGGGGGATACATCTGAAAACCCAGACAAATGCATCACGATTGGAGGCGTGACAAGCAGTAGCAAATTTTGTTATTTTAATTGATCAAATCAACTGGAATTAGCTGCTGAACTACAAAGTTGTTGCATTAGTTATAGTGCTTTGAAAATTGGCATCATTTTAATTAGCATCTACATTTGTTCCGCCGTTTGACAATTAAATGTACTATTAATGGTAATGGGAAGATTTTAAGTGCATTGTAGGTAAGCTAGGGGGCTATTTTTAAAGGTAGCAACCAATAAAATTTTATATTGACTTCAGCACCCTAACATTGTAATAATAGTTTACAAGTTATCTATTAATTAACCAAAGCTAATGGTTTGTAAATAATAAAAGAAATTCATGTAATTATTTTAGTCATTTGCTATAAACAAATTTTACCTAGTTCCTGATTTATTTTACTAAAATACACCTTTCTTTATTTTGATAAGCTAAAAGTAAAGCTTTACCTGGCTGACTTTTTCCTTATTGCAATATATAAGATCTTTGAACTGTATGCTCCACAAATTGCTCTGTTGCCTCTGGAATATCACTTGCACTAATGAACCTGAATTTCCAGGCCTTGAGTATTTATAGAACTCTGCTATTCGGACCGATATTTATGTGGCTTACAATACAATTACAATGTATCCGCCAGATACGCGCACTGAAATCCCAATTAGCCGGGGGACTCTGTTGCAGTGAATCAGAAGTCAAGGCTGTATGATTTGCATTCAGGAAGCTCTGATGCTATCATCTAGATTGCACTTTCTTTTTCGCGATGAGTTCACTTTTAGGTTTTTTACTCGGGGAGGATCGTTCATGCCGCGGATTCTACCGACAAGTCGGCGCTCTGAGCTCAAACTAAAAATTTTAGCGTGCCGCCTGAGGTTTATTAAACAAATTCATTTTTGCACAAGCAAAAAGATTTGGTTAGTTAGTATACAAACTATTCGACGCCGAGAGAATTCAGACATCTTTTAATTCGAAATGAATGCACAATGAAAAGTGTGTAAAATACATTTTAATAAATATTAATTATCAATTGGCATGCAATTTCGGTTTATGGGCGTGGGAATATCCGATTCAAACAAAAGCTTAAGTTTTCCTTTAAAATTATGCTAATGTGTTGGATTTCAAGTTTGAATATCCAGAGCCTGAAATTTGCACTTTATCTTTTTGAATTGATTAGAACCGAAGTTCATTCAATTGCATTTTTTAAATCATTTCTAAAGCAGAATAATAAAGTGCATTAGTGTCGCGTGTGCTTTTCTATGTTTTTCTTTTGTTTATTAATTCTAGAATAATGAATGTAAACAAGAGAGAATTTATATATTATTTTCATTAGTACTAAATAGAAATACTCTATAGTGATTATAATAATTTAGTGGAATAAACGAGGAAAGCGAAGGCTCTTGAGCTATTTAACTGTGCTACAAAATATAAATCCAGAAAACCTTTTTAATTTATCATTTATAAAAAAAAGATTTATTATATTAAAAGCTTTATTTTTAATTGAGACTTGGGAAAGTGTATCTAAAATACCTCGAAAAAAATTATCTAAGCTGCATGTGCGATGCGATGCGACGATTGCGATTGTTTAATTCATTATTTATGTTCCCTCAGATATTTATTTTGATTGCTGCTTGTCGTTGCTTTCATTATAATTGTTGTTGCTGTTGTTGTTGCTTGTGTTAATTGCACAAGATTTTTCAACTACCGACGGTCAAAAAATTTAGCCGCTTGTTGCCTTTTCCAGCCACTTCTACTCATCGACACGCAACTTTATTTAAATTGTGCTCATTTTTCAGATTTTTATTAATTAAAACGAAGCTTACGACTGAGCTTGGGCATTGGACACTGGACTTGAGCTTGACATTGGCTCACGCAGATTGAAGAGACCTCGGTAAATGCGAGGCCATAAACTGGTTTTCCTATATAATCAACCAGGAATTGAAAGCCCTTCAAGCCCGCATTTTTATATTCCATTTAGTTGTTTTACAAATTTGCACACTGACGCCCCAAGCTGCAGCTGATGATTCTTCTTTTTTTTTCTACCTATAATTGCAATTTAATTGAAAAACGGTAGCGTTGCCGCTCTATCGATATATATATACTCGTATACCTGGGGCGTGTAAAATGAGACCCCCTTAAACCAATTAGCACAAATCGATGTCTCAGGCAATGATCTATAGTTTTAGCTTGAAACACTAAAGCTAAGGAAATATGTAGTACAAACGTGCCTAAGTTGAGAATATAGATCGTCTCAAGCTAAACTGTGGTAATATTGAGTAAATTCGCTGTGCGGTTTCATAAATAAGTGAACTTTTCTAATATAATATTAACATTTAATGTGTAAAATTTTTATATTTCCTCATTGGCTTTCTCCTCTGCATTATATTGCTTTCAAGTCGGAAGTTTCTATTTTGTGACTTACTGAATTTTTTTTCAAAATAGAACTGAATGTTTTAAACAGAACTCATTTTTTTATTCCTTTTTTTTAATAACTAGAAATTAAGTAATATACCCACCTGAATATTTTTTTATATACGACTTCCTTCGCTTTCTTCCAGGAACCTTTTTGTGGAGTTATGGTTTTTGGGGGGCGGATGGGGTGGAATTTGTGTCTGGCCTGCTCAAAAAGTCTATTGCAAATTTCCAGTTGTTGGTCGCAGGTGGTTGTTGTAGCGGGTGAGGTTTTGCGTTGTTGGAGATTCCTGTGGGAGAATTAAAAAAAAAATGAAGTCATTTAAATAAAGAAGCTTGGAGCGGATTTGCAATGTCTCCGGTGGCCCAGCGATTTTTGTTGGCAGTGGCCACTTGTGGATTTTGTGTTTTGTGATGGCACTCAAGTGGTTTTCCTTTGAGAGGAGTGTTTGCTCTTCACTGGGCTTGCGGCAAGGTCGTTGGCCAACAAAAGCCAAGGAAAAGTGGAAATTATAAGTGAAGGAATTATAAGGAATTACAAAAACTTCTTAAGTAATAACAAAATCTTAACCTCTTGAAACCATTTCAATGTTTTACACAATAAGAGAACACGAAACCCTTAATACAACCACAAATTGTTTGAATACCCGACTATAAAAATGTAAATATGAATACAAATATGTGCAGATTTATTATTCAAAACCAAAACATGCCACAGTGAATGAGACTGCGGCTATTTGTCCAGGGTAAACAAAAAAAAAAAGATAATGGTATTTACATCAATATTTGTTAATACTTTTATTTGTCTTCGATTTTTTCAGACGCTTGGTGGTTGTCAAGCCGAGCAAAAAATATTGTATGCCTGCCAGGCCGGATTCAAATCGATTAATAAATAAATACATGTAGGTATAAATAAACAAACGCTTGTTGCCGCTTTAAAATGCAAATTTCGATTGGATTTTGATTGATATGATATACCTCTCCTGCAAGCGAGGGGAGATAACTAAGGTTTTGACTACGGAAATAAGGAAATTATCTTTTGTTCTGAAGTAGGATCAAATTTGCACGCTTAAAGTATATTTTTTATGCACTTAAGTAAGAATTTAAACGTACGAAACACTTTTAGTTTCGCTGAAACCAATTTATATGTACAAGTATTGATTTAAGATCTTACTTGAAAATAATACTTCTAATTGTTTTTCACAAAATCCTTCTCTGTAAATAAAATTTAGGTAAACAAAAACTAATAAACTTATATGTCCTGATCTCACCATAAATTTCTCTTGGAACTTACACCCTTAAAATATTAAGTTTTCACATATTTTTTGATGAAGTTGCCCGTAGCTTGCTGCTTGAACGTTGTTGCAATATAAACACGGTATTTAGACGCACATTGGTTGGAATTGTCGAGAGTGATTTTGTTGCTTAGGCCTTAAACCAAACTAAACTAGTGCTAAAACGGTAACTGATGGCGAGTGAGTGCCACAAGTGTCTTTTCTGGTGCTGAGGCTGCACTGCGAGCGTGGGAAACGGGCACGTCCATCAGCCACGAGATCTCATCTCGCACTGAACGGAGATGCGCTGGCCAGCGGCGCACGAGGCGCCGGCGACGTCGACGGCGGACGACTGCGCCCAGGATGCGGATGAGGTCCTGTGGCAAGTGTGCGCCAAATGGCAAAAGGGCGGGAGGAACGAGGAGCAGCGGCGCTGGCAGCGCTGCCACTTGTTGTCTGCTGCCTGTTGCAGCACACACTCCCGTTATCCGTAACGGCTCCCCATCCCCACCCACTTACCGCCCAACTTTCTCCTCTTCTTCTCTGCTCATCCTGCATATTGATGGAAACTGCCAACGGCAATGATTCTGCTCAATTGCCTTCATTGTGTTTGGTATCTGTATGTGTGTGTGTGTGTGTGTGTGTGTGGGGTAAACGTACATATGTATGTGCGTTGGGGTCTCTCCTCTGTTTGATTTTATTTTCGCTTCGCCCGTAAGTATGCAACGCGTTTTTGGGGTTGCCTGCCGCATGGATGGAGATTCTGCGGGGACACACGCATATTATGCCTAATTGATTTTCGCCTTCTAAGTGGCAACTCAATTTTTGGGAACAAGAGGGGACAACTTCAATGGTTTTCGCATTTATTGAAAGTTAGCTTTTGAAAGTCTTAAAGGGAATCCTGATTTTAGGAACCACTGTAAACCATATATGTAGTATAAATTATAAGAGTTTCGAACCTTTTAAATTTTGAGTTCAATCAATGCGTACTTTACATTAAGAATTTCGAACATTATGAAGTCTTATTTTATAACTATCTCAAATAGGCTAAAATAGTATTTTTGAGCAATTTAACTGTCCAAAAAGTGGTACATTGTATTTAAATAAAACATACATTTAAATATCAATCAATTTCACGGTTGTAAAAACTTGACCTTGAATTATTTTTTAACGCCACTTTTCGTTATTAAATTTCAAGTAAAAAAATTCACTTATTTTCAAACTAATATCATTACGGCACATGTGACTTTTATTTTCAATATGTTACTCGTTTTTTCTTAGCATAACGAGGTCACAATTTGCGTGTTCTTGTTAACTTAAGGTGTAACAGGTGTGTCGCATCTCCCTCAGGACATTGGCCTCGGGGTAAATGTGAAATCAAACGTGTTGTTGCACTGATTTAACCAATTTCCGGTGGAATATGTTTGCCGGCAGACAGTTTGTGGATGCCAAGACCACCTGATGGATTTTCGAGGTGAACCTGAACGATTCCACTTACTCGTGGGCCTTTTCAATTAATCCATTTGAGCTGTTGTAAATTTATGCAGCCAGCCGGATGAGACACGCGACAGATACAGAAGTCAGATAAAGATACGGATGCGGAGATACTCGCACAAAGACCGCTGCGATTGGAAAACGACACGCGACTGAATCGAAGATTGGGAAAGAGGCAGAAACCGAAGTCAGAGGACGGGCCCAGAAATATTTATAAGCATTAACGATGATGGTGTAGCTTCGCGATCACGTCTAGGGTCTCGAATTTGCATATAGAAGTCGAGATATTAAACCTGGCATCCACGGCAAAACGAAATAAAATATAGAGTGGAAGGCAATAAAGGGGCAAAAACTGAGTGACCGGCTTAAGCGGTCAAAAGCGGGGAGGGGATGACCTTGATAAAGAAACCAATCTAGAAGAGCTTTAATCTGGAGAATATTTGTTAATTAAATGAATCAGATTATATGGTAATTTATGCTGATATATGTTGTATGAATGATTCTGGAGCGACTTAAAGAATCGATAAGAATGGTTTAAGTGACTAATTAAAACCAGGCATCTTGCGAATCACAATTCGAATAAATTCTTGGTATTCAAAGATTGGGAAAATAAACATTACCTATTTCTAAAAAAAAGTTTTTATATTGGCTAAAAATTCTTTTATTTGACTTTAATACTACTAATATTTTGAACACGCCAGTAAATACTTTAATTGCATTTCGTAGAATGAAGACACTTTGCTTAAATAGAAAGAAACCCAATACGAAACCAAGCCACTCACAAATCGATTTCAAACACATGCTTTGTGTAAAACTCATCGAAGGAAAATCGGGGGAAAATAGCATAGGCGGCAACAACTACAATGGAGCAATAAAAAAGGTGGAGACTTCCATTGAAGTGTTAAAGTGGCGACGCCAAAATAACTTCAAAGTTAATGGACTAGAAATCGACCAGGACTGATGGCATTAAATAATACAATAAATGCAGAAATGCTTTTGGGAGTGGATTAAAAGGGGCTAAAAAGGCCCATTTCGGCTTTTGGGGGCCTGACAAATTGAATTCTCCACATATGACAGCTTAACTTTTCATGCTGGGGGTTGAGCCGAAGACAAATGTGACTCAAAACTGATGCGGGTCATTCGATGACAATCTCTGGCCTTTGGTCAAATTTTTATCACAATCGAACAAGACAAAAAAATAAACAGAGTGAAAAAAGGAAACCGGAAAACCCATTCGGCCGCAAATGTTTAATTTCCTTTTGTTTGAAATGCTACACACAATCCCTGAGCTTGAGCTGTCATTAGCATTTGCGAAATCTATTTAAAAGCCCGAGTGCCAGTATCCCCCAGTATCCCTCAAAGTTCAAATGTCACCCGGACTCGTGTGAGTATGCCTGTGGTGGAGATATTTTCCCATTTCCCCGGGGACAGTGGTTGATTCCGCCGAGTCTTGCGGGGGTGTCGCATATTTAGTGGCATTCAATTGGAATATCAACACGTGCCACATCGTCATCTTCAGCAGCTTCTGGAGCGGCCTTTGCTTCTGCTTTTCGCATAGTTGTGTTCGCCTTTTCCGCTCGGCATTTGTCTTAGTGGAGAATGAGCCAGAGTTCATTAGGAAATTCCGCAAATATTTTGAATTTATTATTGCGCTTTTATATTGCAGCGAAATTAAAAGGAGCTGGCAAAGCTGAAGGGGTTTCCCCTTGGCAGTGAAAGTGAATGGTTGCGAGACGAATTAAAGGAGGTTTCTATTTAAGCCTGTATATCTCCGATATACTCATCTGAACAGCTTGGTTAATGCAATGATGATAATGAATACAACCAACGTATTATAAAAATTATGAGTTTAGAACCTACCATGTTGTCGTTAGATAGGTTTTCTAAGATTTTTTAAATGAAAAAACATAATTGATTTTTTAATTTTGTGCATGTTGTAAAAACTATAACCACATTAAAAAAATTCGCCCAACGTGGGGCTCGAACCCACGACCCTGAGATTAAGAGTCTCATGCTCTACCGACTGAGCTAGCCGGGCACTTGATTACCTTCCTGGCAGGTAATATAATTGGAACTCGCGTATATATAGTATATTTCAAGTAATAAAGTTCAAAATAATCTATAAATACTTTAAAAAGTGTTTCCAAAATGTTAAAATTAAAACTCACAAACCAAAACTAAAGAATCTTTCCACTTTTCCATCTTTCCACGTGTTTCTCAAATGTGGCTGCTGACTTTTTTATTTACATTCCTACAAAATAATTTTATTTAAAACTAACTTTACATTTGACCCGATTAGGCGGGATTAGGCCAGAATATAGAGCAAACCATACAAGCCAGCTTACGAATAAAAGAAAAATTAAATTAATGCGCTTTAAGCCATTTATTTCACTTAGAGCAACTCGCATATAAATGGGTCGGAGGCCGAGTCCTGCGCAGTGTCCGAAAAGGGGGCGTGGTTAAGGACGACCAATCGGGTGGCTCGGATAATACGCATTGCTTCTATCCGCCAGTCAGAGGAAAAGCCCGAAGCGAAAGGAAGCTGGGAAAATCACTCGGCTCTCCACTTGTTGCTCAGCAAGTGAGCTGGGAAAACCCCAAAGGAAAAGCGTGAAAATTGATAATAAACGCACTTCGCACGTACACACATTCGCACGAACATTTAAGGGGTGTGGTGGCATAGAACACTTCTAGTCACATTTATTGCAAGCTTTTATTTTATGCTTTTGATTTATGGTGCGGCTTTTACACTTAGGAAATTGTCAGAACGAAATTTTTCCGACTGGCCGCCATATCATAATCATTTACTCTAGAAAAGAAAACGGAGCATATTTTTAGGCCTAGCATCAGAAACTGAGACCACTTTAAAGATTAACTTGGTCATAATCTGGGAACCATACTTAATCCGTTAAAAGCCCAAAGGAAAAGTCATTTTATGATTAATTTGTACTCCTTTTTTTCGCGCCATCCATCTTCTAAATCAGCTTCCTAGACATTGACCAATTGCCGAGCCATTAATTCTGCCTCTTTGAAAGCCTTTTCCTCTTAAGTGTCCTTGCAGATTGCTTCTGTTCTGAGCGCCTCACCCCCACTTATCTGGTTAATTGGTTTTTTATTTGCCTGTTGCCCGGTCAGAAGATACAACAAAGACAAGCGGAGTGGATTGTGTGGCGCTTTAAGTAAATAATACAGTTTTTATTACCTCCATCGAATTGTACAGATAACGTTAGTCAGCTTAAGTACTTAGCACTCGACGCAATTAATCGTAGATTACGTAATAATAAAAACTTAAGAGCTAAGCCTAAGCGATTTTGTTTTTGTTCACAAGCAACAACGGAATTTGCCTAGCTTAAACAAACATTGCGATCGTAATCGATTAACATTTAACATTTCAACCAAGCGACTTATAAGGTGTATTGTACAATAGAGTATTTTCGCTACATAAACTAATCCTACGAAATTGCACACAAGCAAACCCTAAGAACTAGGACTAAATCTAGGCTAATTGGCCACGCTAACAAGTTGCGAACTGGGGGACGATGGGGCTTTGTTACCATTACGCATCGTAGAGCTTCAGATTGTCGAACTCATCAAGCGTGTCCTCCGACCCAGAGGTGGTCAGATCCGACAGCTCATCGAGGCACTTCTGGCGCTTTCGCACATTCCAGTGCAGACCCTCGGCGAGGGAGTCGAACCAATCGGAGATTTGGTCCTGGGAGCAAATGCTAGGCACGGGATACACGGAGGTGGTCACCCGCAGGCTGTCGCCATGGTTCAGCTCCTGATCGTTGCGTCCGTCGAAGGAGACGCGTGAGGTGTTGCGGCTATCAGGTGAAATGGATATCTGCAAAGGCAAAGTAGGAAGTCATCAGATATCTGTATATCTAGTTGATCATATAACAGTAGTGATATTAGCTGTTTTGCATTTGATGCTAATGCATTATTCACGACTCAGACAACCAAAGTCCAAAAATTAAGTTGAGTCATTAAAAGTTGTTTAAAAAGCAAACAAAATTTTAAAACAACATAAGAACTTTGTGAACTTGTCAGTGAACTTTAAAGGCTTTAAATACTTTAGAAGTATTGTTACTTTATCTATAAAGTTATAAATTAAGCGAAGGAATAACGATGTGGAATATTTTTTTTTAACTTATTTAGCATTCAGTATTAAAGTCTTCCAATATCGTTGCTCAAGCTTAACAAGTTTAAACTTCGAATATTGAATTAGGGCCCATTTAATGAAGCTCACCTTCAGCTCCACTCCGGCGGGCACCACAATGGGCCTGAAGCTCAGCGAGTGCGGGCAAATCGGAGTCACCAAAATGGCCGGCACGGAGGGATGGATCATGGAGGCACCGGCTGCTGCCGCATAAGCAGTGCTTCCCGTGGGCGTGGAAACGATAAGGCCATCACCCTGAACCGAGGTGATGTACTTGCCGTCCAAGAAGATGTCAATGTTGCTCAGATAAGGCGAAGGTCCTCGGTTGATCACCACCTCGTTGAGCACCAGGATGCTGTTGTTCGGTGAGTTGTTGTTGTTGCACCCGAAATTCCCTGTTTGTCCGTTGTTGAGCTCCACGTAGTTGTGCTGCCTGTGCAGGCTGGGCTTCAGGAGATTGCCACCTCCAGCGGGCAGCAGGGACTCCTTGCGACGTTCGCCCTTGCGGTGGATTGAGCAGCGCAGGCGACTGCGCAGTGTTAGGGCGGCATGACCCTCCAGGACGTTGGTCACCTGCTCCTGGAAGTTGTCGCACTCGAAAGGCGTGAGGAAACCGAGGGATCCCAGGTAAAAGGCCATCACCGGGGGCACCGACTGCTGGAACAGCTGAGATGCGTACAGCAGAGTTCCATCGCCTCCCAGGCAGACGATGAAGTCGATCCGATCGGTCAGGTCATCGCGGCCATCCCTGCGGGAATAAAGATAGTTATTTAAATTGTTTATAAAAGTCAATTACTAAAACCAATCAATTTTGATTATTCCCTTCTGGAGGTTTTCATAAAGTAAAGGGAATATGATTTTAAAATGCCTAATTTGCCCAGCTGGACCTAAGCCCTTCTATAATTATTGTTTAATAACTTAACATTCCACTCTCGTAATTACGTAAAATGTTAATTAAAATTCTAAGTGGCTAGCAAAGCTTCAAAGCATTTGAACTCAAACACCGCCAATGAAAATCGTTTGGGCAATCGCTCCCCACTCACTTGAAGGTCTTCAGCTTTTCACGGAATGCCAGGAAACGTGCTCGGACTCCTGCGTAGTCCCCGTGCACCTGCCGGAACTTGGTGCTCTCCTGCTCCAGCTTGACGTCATCCCGGAGGAGTTTGTCCTCTAGGACGGCGGACTCCACCCAGACGACCATGTGCTTCTCCTGCACCAGCCACTCGACCAGCTGGACGAACGGCAACAGGACCTGCGAGTCCTTCTTCTTGATCACCAGGACGGCGAGTGGTGGCTTGTACCAGGTCAATCGCTGGCTGGCCGGATCCTGAATCTGCATGATCATGGCTGAGTTCTTCATAATGCGACCACATGGCCCGAACTGATGGAACGGCGACGGAGCATTCAGACTTCTAGTGCGCCTGGAAGATAGTTTAAAAAAATAAGTTGGTTTAAAAAAGATCATTTGGGAGGGAAGTATAGCTCTAAGAATACACCTTAAAATACGGGGATCGGGCGCCACTGGGGCCACCTGCTGCTCTTCGACCTCGGAAATCTGGCGCTGCAAGGCCGGCGCTAATTTCAACTTTTGGTGCTGCATAACGCCAGGTTCTTAACTATTTTGGATGGTCACGCCCTTCTTATATATAGTTTTCTTAGCGCTAAACACAAAAACTTGTTGGAATTTTTCGCTGCGAGCGCGACTGGTGCTCGTTCGAAGGTTACAAAATCACTGACAGGCCAATTTGGCCTGTTCGGAAACACTAAATAAAGGTATGTATATAACGAATTTATATTTTTGTTTTCATTACAACAACACGTAGCAGCGCAAATAAACTTGTTGAATCTGCGGTCCAAACAAACAGGAATTGCACATGCTAACAAAGAGAGAGACAGACGGACAGAGAGTGGGGCCCAGAGAGAGATGGCCAAGTGAGCGGAACTGTGGGAGAGCACTGCTGCTGTTGAACTCTGTGTGCGTGAGTATATGCGAGTGCGGGGGTGCAAGTTAACGGGTTTGATTGATGTGCTAATATGAGATGAGTCAGCACAAACTACAGAGAGCGGAGAGAGCAGAGATGAGCCAACGGCAAATGAGCCGTAAGATAGACTAGGCAGAACTGGACCAAAGAATCATGGGCGCCGAGGATTAACAGTGGGATGCATAGTCAATCTTAAGTTTGAGTTATTAAAAGGCAAAAATACTGTTTACATAAATAAAGCAAACTAGTAGTTACACAATTTAAAAAAGTACAAAATAATAAAATTGATGCCTATAGTACGTGTCATTTGGCAATTAAATTTCCCATCAGATTGCACTTGTTATAATTGACTTATCCCAGAGATAGTCCCATTGTGCTCGAGTACAGGGTCTGACTCACTTAAAGACAAGGTGAAATGACAAAAAACTTGGGCGAAAGGAGCGCGTCGAGGGATTAACAATAAAATTACTCATACGTTCTGATGCAGGAAGATGTGTTGACAGAAGGTGATCTTTTTTCCCCATTGATTTAATCATTATAATGACTTCGGGGAAAATTCATTCATTCACTTACGCGACTTGTTTGACAGTGAACGCCCGATAAACACACTTGCCCGATCGCTAGTAGAATTCGACTAACTTGAGGTTCGGTGCGAGAGCTAAACAACTTCAAAAAAGCACTGAATTCTTTAAAAAGATATGCATAAGACGTCAGCATGACAATGCATAAATATTCAGGCCTGAAATCATTTACTTTCTGTGATCACAAAGTCCGAATTATTTTCAATTTCCCCCGGGCCTTAATGAGGGGCCCCACTATATAATCGACTTGCCGCCCAGACATGCCATGCAAATGCGGTTAAAGCCACCTGACCTGCACACCTTTGGATTTCGGCATCGCGAATCGGTCACGAGCGACTGTCATTCCGATTCGAATATATTTCAATACGTTTACCTGTTGCCTTTGGTTTATAACCGGCGCCAAGCACAAACTGGCACGGATTTCAAACTTAACTGGCGTCTCAAGTTCTTCAAAACAAACCGTAAAAAATAGTAGCTAGCGAAGAAAAAACCTACACATAAATTAACAAACGGCGCCATCGTAGTACCAATAAGCGAGGTGTTAACAAACTCGTTTTTTAAGTGGCCAAAATATGAAAAAGAAAACATGCCACAAACGCTGAACTATGCAGAAAGGTCAAGGACTTTTCAGTTAGTGTTAATGAGCTGAGAAAACTGTTTTAAAGCCAAGTACAGGCCCCGAAAACTGATTTATTGATAAACAGTTTGCTTAATCATGCTGCTAGACGAATATCAGTTGTGAAATTGATACTGAGTTCGGTGTGTATATAATTAGCCGATTTGATCTGTGTAAACAGTATGCGCCTAAATGCATACCACACTTCCAACACCTGATAAGCGCCAGTGACAAGCTAAACACTTGATTACAAAACGGCACTCCTTATCGAACACATGCCTCCTACAAATGTTCGGGGACCTGATAACTTTCAAACAACCCCACTGAGGGAAATAACGTCATCTGACGTTGATAAATTGACTTCGGCATTTTTGTTTATTTAATTAATATAATTGGCTTGTTTTTAGGGTTTTTTTAAAATAAGTTTTTGATAAGTTTAGAGGGAGATAATTTAATTTTGGTTTACCAATTTTTTTTAAACTACGTTTGGCGTTCTCCCAACTTTCCTTTGCTGGCTTATTTTATCAATAAAAAATAATTTTTTTTTATTTCACATTAAGTAATATGCGACAACGCTAGGTAATAGTTACATACAAGTTTTCGGTTTCGTGGAGATAACAATTCATAACCACTTATAAAGTTTTTCCCAGTGTGATGTTCTCATTTAGGCTTATCGAAATGGGGTTTGTTCTGGGTCACCGCAAAACAACTAGGTTTAATTTGGATTACTTACGGCCAAGTGCCGCTACGCCTGCGTCGAGTCGTGGAATCGAAGTAGCCGTCATCGGGATCCTCTTCGGATTTATCCTGATGGTTGGCCAAACCGTTGGCCGAATTTTCACTAGCCACGTTTTGATCTCTGGCCTTGGTGCTGGCAAAGTTCGCCTTGTTCTGGATGATTCTTTGACGTTTAACTGAGTCATTGTGGCGCCTGAGGAGATCAATGTACTGGGTCTGCTGGTGGCCAGTGCCACTCCAGGCCAACTTATAGCTAAATCGCTCCTCCAGACGGTGCTGGTGCAGGGTGGCCAAATCAATGTCCGACAGGCACGTCATACTTAAGTCTTTTGTTTACCAAATATCACTCAAAAAGTCACAGGAGATTCGTATTGTTAAAACATTATTCCACTGAAATTGGGTTGGGATATTTTAGCTACGCAATCGCTTGGCATTTCTGGGACCCATAATGGAACCCCACACTCTTTTAATGGCCTTGATTCCACCTAATGGTAAACAACAATAACCTTGCTCCCTTTACTGGAGGTGTTAACACGGCTAAAAATTTTGGTAACAAAAGAATGCAATACATTTTTGTGGGATATAAAAAGGTAACTGCTCTGGCGCGTGGTAAAAGTTGATAAACAAAAACGATCAGTTTTTGGTTTTTCGTGAGTAAACTGGTTTCGTATTTCTTTTGAAATTTGTGCAAAATACATTTGTTATTAGCAATCAAAAAGTTTGTTTTGTTTGCCTTTTTTTTTGGCCAACCTAACGGACCAGAAACGTAGTTCCGGCTTTGACGCAAAAGTCATTATAATTGGGGGAAAGATGGCTAGAAAGGAGCGGGACAAGGCCTAATATGCGTCATTAGCCAGCTTCCGCTGGCGGGGGACTGGCGGTGTTGGACTTGGCCAACTTTTATCGCCTGCTTAGCCACATAACGATGTCAAGTATAAATCAATTGGCAAGCAATCTGCTGGCAAAAGCCGCACGAACAAAAAAATCGGACTTACTAAACAACCACAGTTAGCTTTATAACGAGAAATATAATTAAACATTTTTTTCGTGATTGCTTTGTGTTGGTCAACAACCTTTTAATAAGCGAAAAATCCAAAAACGTCCACTTAGACCACATTTAAACAGTCTGCAGCTCTTTCAAAAAAAGCAACCCACTTGGGCATAACAGTATCGCCAGCCATTAATCTAGAAATCGTGACCTGCGTGAGTAATGAGCTTCAAGATCTCAAACATTTCAGTTTCTTTCCGAAAGTGGCCCATCAACAGTTCGTTAACAGAGGTCGCTCGAAGATTCTGTTAAGTGGTTGATAAGATGGGGAAGTTAACAGAAAGGGGAAGTGTCTGTCTTTCGAATTTTGTACAATTAAATATTACGATTATAATGGATTCTATAGTACTTTTTGGGGTGTATTCGCCACACAAAGTCGAATAATCTTCAAAGCTTTTTCCGCTCAATATGATTGGATTATAGCACTCGTTACATTTGAGTGATCACTCTCATTTGGAATTCTAATTAAATGTATTGCATAACAAGAATCGCAGTGCAGTAGAATCCACAGTCTATACCGCTCGCGTGATTGAAAGTCTTCCTTCTCTTCTATTTTTACGGAGATCAGGAAACAAAAAGTAAGTACAAGTCATTGAATATGTTTCTGTAAAGTAAACAAAGGAAGGCACCAACCATCGCCCCCTGTAATCGCCAGTTACATCCGTAGTAATCGGACTATGACAATAGACGAGTACATAAAGCGAATTATAAATGACTTATGGTACAAAGAAAATTGAAATAAATAAGCGACGGGCGCACATTAATTAATCAATAAGCGGACGATCCAAGCAGCGAAATGCGCAGTGGCCGCAACTAAGTTTAGTGATTATCATTGAATGGATCGGAAAATGGGCAAGGGAGCAGCACCCATGGATCAGTGAAACCACCTGGCCACAACGTGCCCACATGTCTGAAATGGTTTGCGTGCAATAGTATAATTCAAATGACGCCTTTCGCCAACAATTCAAAAGTTCTAAGGTTGCAATTGCAGGTATTACAGTTGAACTTGCATACTAAATGCCTAACCCCTGTTTGCTTCTACTTAACGAGGTATTAAAAAGTATGGGCCTCCACTTTTTTTACAACACATATAATTTTTTTAAGCAATACTATATGTACAGAAAACAAAGATTTGAATTTGATCTGGTTAGTGAAGGTTTCATACATAATAATAAAATAAAACTTGATATACTGGATACAAATGTATCCGAGGTATATCAATTATTTTTAATGTTCAATATTTTATGATAGAGCACAAAGATTTAAATTGATGTCATTGTTATACTTTCATTTGCATGCAGAAACTTTGTACTATAAACCAAGCAAGCAATTAATTTACATAACAAATGGAACCGTGTTTAAATATTGAGTTTTAAAGCCAAAGAACATGTCATTAAAAATAGGTTTTTAGATTATGGAATTTGAACTGCAATTTCACGAATTAATGCAAATACACGAAATTCAGTCAACAATAAAAATGTAGTTTTGGTTCTCTAGTTGATCATTAATAAATTTAGACTTAAAGCCTCTAGAAAATTCCTAGATACACAAACCTCTTAAGGTTCGAGTGCAATTTCATGATCTAGTGCCGCAAAAGATTGACGGATTGATAGCTGGCTAGCTGGCTGGCCATAGAAGGAAATCGAAAGTGGGTTGGGGCCCAGACCCCAGAAATGCCAAGTCATGTCTGCGCTAGAAAAAGTTAACTAGTGGCTGGCAACAAAGTACTCTAATTACACGTTATATAATCTGTTTTATTTTCTTTTTAGCACAAACGCGAACCAAGCCGAAGCTTCCAGCTACGGCGGCTTCAAACTGACCAGCGATCGGTGATCGGCGGGCAGGTAAACGACCGACTCAAAAACGAAAAAGCCGCTCCACGATCGACGGCGGTACAGCTAAGCCAAAGGTGCGACAGGGACGGGTAGAGAGCGCGAACACGACCGTGTTGTCCGGTGAACATGCGATAACTGAGCATGGACGCCAAAAAAAGTGATTAAATTGGACGATCTGTGCGCGATTCCGATTCGAAAATAAAAGTACGCGAGCCGAGCGATTTTGTAAACAATGAACGTCGATCGCTGGCGGGTTTTCGCCGGACATCGCTGGTAAAAAACAGCTGAGCACAGCCACGCGTCGCGATCGTAGAGAAATATGAGTGCAACAGGTGCTCTCACTGTTATGTAAATGGAATGAGCGGCTAGGGGTTGTCTAATTGCTAATATTAAATTCCACAAAACATGATTGATGAATGGCAAGAGATCTGCAATCCAAGCAAAGCTTTGAAATCCATAAATAAATTTATGGAGTTGTAGGAAAATGTCTTAGGGGTCAAACAGTAGATCAATGATCCATCAAATAGTGTATATTAGTTACAGTTCCGTTTTAAACCCAAAACGGTGGATTGCAAAAACTAAACCTAACTACAGTAAAATCTTTAATGAATCGAAAAAAACGTGAGATAGACAAATGCAATTTAGCAAAGGAAATCGATTTTTGTTCCTACATCTGGCACTTGTCACACATTCGTCACACGTGTTAACAGTAGTAAAAATTCGCAGAAAAGTTACAAACAACATGTGTGGGCCACTTGAGACCAGGCATTTTCCGGCTCCCTCTAATTGATTGCCAGCTATATAAAAAGTGCTAAATTTCCTAAATTATTTTGCACTACAGTGATGCTAAAGTTAGCATTAACAGTTGGTTTTAATTAAAAAATTTTAATCAGCTAATAACTTACAAGCTTTAAGACCCACAAATGTTCTATGTAAGTCATTACATACATAATAAATTTGGCTTTGTCTATAAGTACAATTTTTAATAAATTCCGAGAGTAAATTGCCCTTCGCCAAATGTAAGATTAATGATTTGGAAAATAGTTAATTAGAAAAAAAAATTAATTTCAGTTGTAAATTGATTTTACTAATAAACTTTTTAATACTAAAAAATATTGGGTGAAGAATCGGTGATTTCCCAAGACTCAATTGATATTTATTTTGATTTGATTGTGACCCAGATTTGTAAACAGGATCAGCTGATTGCCACTAAAAAAAAAAGCCTCATCCAGGTGTTTGCAGCTCAGTGCCACCCACTTACCACCACCATCGCATCTGGAGGTCGTCGCTGGCTGTGCCGTTAGTAATGTCAGGACCTGGAGCCGAGGATGCTGCTGCTGCGGAGCTTCCCTGCCGCCCACTATTTACGTGGAGCAGCTGATTGTCGTGGTCGTCGTAGTAGGACTCATTCGAGGAGGATCCCACGGAGCAGCCGGTGGCCTTCGGTACCGTTTGGGCGGGCGAGGGGGTGGCTATTGGATTGGCCGGGATGTTGTTGAAGGAGGACGTCATTGCGGTGGTCACTCGTGTGTTTGCTTGTGTGTGTGCGTGTCTGCGCACCTGCTTGTGTGCGTGTTGTGTTGGCCTCTGTTTGACCCACTGACGCGATGCACCTGACCCGCTAACCTTTTGACGTCTCCAACATCCAATTGGCCACTTCCCGGTTTTAAGCTAGCGCCGACTAGCTACTGATTTGCGATTTCGAGAACGCGAGTTTCAATGGGTCCATGTTATTTGTTTTTTTCTTGCACCATTTCCCGTTAGTGTGACCGTCGCGGACCGATTCCAAAATACTAAATTCACATGTGGGTGAAATGAGCAAAGAACTTGATATGCAGCTACATTAGGCCGCGAAAAATAAATATGACATTTTGCGCTTTCTCGATTGCAGAAAAGGATGTCGGAAAAAAATCTTGAGCATATGAAATTTGAATAGTTAGCTAGTTCTTGGCTTTGAAAAAATTTTTTGTAACCCCTCTTGTCAAAGTGTTGCCACCTCTTAATTTTGTTCCTGCCAGAAAGCTGCTTGCTATAAAAACAGCTAAGCGGCGCGGTAACTTTTTGAATTTGAAAATTTCAAGGACATTTTGCTCACTACTTACCGAAACTGAGTGCGTTTTTCCAGTAAAGTAATGGGCAACGGTTTTCTCAGCGGTGCTGGCGAGCTGCCAGGCGTTGAGGCATCCCCATCCACAATTTCCCGCGCCCGCTGCATATCTTCGGGATTCATATCGAAATTGAGCACAATTAAATCACAACCGCACGCTGGCTACGTTCGCCGTCGACTGCGGCGAGACTTTATGCATTTCACACGACCAGATAGGCACGCACCGCACACCTGTCACACGCACACGCAAAAAACAGCACAGCACACCTTGAATTCGGCGGGCAAAAAAGGCAAAAACATACGGCGACAAACACGAACGAGCGAGCGAACGAACAATGGCACAAGATTTTAGCCGTGTAATGAACGTAGCTTGTACGCCTGAGGGCGCAAACATCTGGCAAACATGAAGCCTTTGCTTCGGCTGCGGCCACAAATACTTTCAATTCGCACCCAAATCGATGCAAAGTAATTTTTTTGACAGGCCCAAGTGCGTGGCAACCACGTTAACCCGGTCCAAACCAATCCAATTCAAAGGCATCAGCGAGGTGAACAACATGCAACAAGTGGCCTGGGAGAGGCGCTCTAAAACCAGTCTAAATACGAAGCACTTTCAGTCTATAATCTAAAATGCAAGGTGTGTTTTGCAATAGACTAAAGCCAAATACACAAGGCAATGTTGGAGAACACAATTCAATCAGTTTGCGATCGGCATTAATCTACAACAGAACTTGACAATGTTTTTTTAAACTATATTCAAGCTTAATTTGGTAAAATGTTGTAAAATAAATTTTAACCAATTGCGGTTTCAAGCTGAACTTACAAGTATTTAAAGTCGTTTTTAACAATTTTTTTAATATATTAAAATAGGTTTACATACGGATACTTGTTCGCATAGAATTGCTTTTGACAAAATGTATTGCATTTTACTAACAGCGGAACTTTACAATATTTCATTTGCTTAACAGTTTATACCCTTTGTAAGAGCATTTTACAAAATAAAAACTATAGTAAGTTTCTATAACTTTTGGCGAAATGTGCTTAATCAATTTGTTCGAAAAGATACTTGGAAAATACTAAAAATTACACACTAAATAAAAAGACTTCGTAAGGGCCAAGGACTAAGACTACTGCTAAAGGGCCTAACCTACGACTACATTTAGCAACGGGGACTTACGCACTAAACATCATACAATTTCATATTCTCAATCTCGTCCAGCATGTCCTCCGATCCGGATGCTGTGAGATCCGACAGCTCGTCGAGGCACTTCTGTCGCTTTCGCACATTCCAGTGCAGTCCGTCGGCGAGGGAGGCAAACCAGTCGGAAATCTGATCCTGGGCACAGATGCAGGGCACGGGATAAATAGAGGTGGTCACGCGGAGGCTGTCGCCATGGAAGAGCTCCTGTCGATTGCGTCCATCGAAGCTGACCCACGAGGTGTTGCGGCTCTCTGGTGAAACCGAGATCTGAAAGAAAGGTACAAAATTTATTAAAAAGTTAAAAATAGGTAACTAAAAGGTAACCCACCTTCAGTTCCACTCCAGCTGGCACAACAATGGGTCGGAAGCTCAGCGAATGCGGGCAAATCGGAGTCACCATAATGGCCGGCACGGAGGGATGGATCATGGAGGCACCGGCTGCTGCCGCATAAGCAGTGCTTCCCGTGGGTGTTGATACAATGAGACCATCACCCTGCACCGACGTGATGTACTTGCCGTCCAGGAACAAATCAATATTGCTGAGATACGGCGAAGGACCCCGATCAATGACCACTTCGTTGAGCACGAGGATGCTATTGGCCGCAGGTCGTGCATCTCCATCCGGATCTATCTCTTGTGTTTTGGCCTCTTGTTTTCTATCGCTCCTGCGATGCATCACACAACGCAAACGACTGCGCAGGGTTAGAGCAGCGTGCCCCTCAAGGACACTGGTGAGCTGCTCCTGGAAGTTGTCGAAGCGGAAGGGTGTGAGGAAGCCGAGGGAACCCAAATGAAAAGCCATGACGGGCGGCACCGATAGCTGGAAGAGCAGGGAGGCATATAGAAGTGTGCCATCGCCACCAAGACAGACTATAAAGTCAATGCGATCCGTCAAGTCATCACGGCCATCTCTGAGGATTGAAAACATAAAAGAGTTTAAAATATGATTCTTCTTTTTTGGTGAGAACTGACTCACTTGAAAGTCACCAGCTTATCCCGTATTGCCTTGAATCGCACATTTTCGTTGAGCAGCGAGTCCTCCAGCACCGCTGACTCCACCCAAACCACCATGCACTTCTCCTGCAGCAGCCAGTCCACCAGTTGGACAAAGGGCGCCAGGACCGAGGCATCGCTTACTTTTTTGATCACCAGAACAGTGAGAGGTGGCTTGTACCAGGTGAGACGCTGACTAGCCGGATCTTGGATCTGCATCACCATGGCTGAGTTTTTCATGATGCGTCCACATGGTCCGAATTGCTGGACAGGCGAAGGGGCATTTAAACTGCGAGTGCGCCTGGAAAAAAACAGGAAAAACAAATTACTAATAAGTAAAGATGTAAGTTTATATTATTATCCCTAAGCACCTTAGTAAATGGCGCTTGTTAGTGGCCTTTACATCTGACTCCTGCACAATACAATTGTTATTGGAGTCGCTCAACACATCATCCCACTTAACATTGTTGAACTCCTCGATGCTCAAGGAACTATGAAGTGGAAATAAACCAGTAGCCTGCCGTTTTTCGGGAAGCAAGGGAAACATTTTCTTAGAACTTCGAGTTTTATAAAACGTTAATAAAATATTTGGCTTGTTTTCTCCACTTTTGCAAGTTGCAGACTAACTTCAACCAACTGTAAATCAACCTTATGCAAATGGCGACAGTTAAAGCAGACAGAGATCGGGAGAAAAAACTAAGATGGAGTGGGATTCGAAAGAATTGCATTGGCGATTCTCCTTCCTGTTTTCATTCGAAGAAACACTGGGAAAACAATTGGTTGGTAACGCAGTTTTTAAAAAAAATAAATACATACATTTTACTTCAATAGATCATTGAAATTAATGAACAATTTTGGTGATGAAAAAAGTTTGAAGAAAACTTGAGAAATTAAAATTCAAATACTTTGGTACAGCAAAAAAAAACACCTTGGGTTAATCAAAATTCAGAATGAAATACGAATCAGTTATAAACAAATTAGTTTGGATTATTTTCAAACCACTTTTTTATACAAGAAAAGCCTTTTTGGGTTAAACAAATTCAAAGCCATATTTTCCTGTGCAGTTTCAAGTGCGCTTCTTGCGCCATCGTGCCACTGATTTGGATTACAAATTCCAGCTTTTCGCATGCAATCTTATCGCAAGGAGAGCCTTTTCAGCTGGAAGTCGACTTACGGCCAGGTGCCGGAGCGTCTGCGTTTCCCACCTGACGCCGATCCACTGCCACTTGAGTTACAATCTCTGGCCCGTCCTCGTTCCACACATTTTCCGTTTGACTCCGATCGCGCCTTCCTCTGCAGATTCCTCTCCAGACATTTGCGGGTCATGGGACTAAATCCGTCATGGTGGTGATACATATGATCGGAATTTGGCAGTCCGTAGTGCCATCGCTGCTCCAAGCGATTCTCGTGCAAGGTGGCCAAATCAATGTCCGAGAGGCAAGTCATTTTGCATGCAACTTCACTTTTTTGGCTCCAATACCACTGACAAACAAGTCGAAAATTTAACTTTGTACTGCAGTTTTGTACACTTTGATTTTTGGAATGTCGTCAGACCGCATTTTTTCGGCCAACACAAAAGGGACCAAGGTTAGTTTTGTTTTCACAACAAATTTTCGTCTTTAAAAATAACACGCCCACGCACTTTTTATCGATAAGCCAACCAAATATGGGACAAAAAATGTGACAGCGTAAAAGAGAAAGTGTTTTACGAGCGCGAGGCGTACAAACTGGTAATTAGAAATGCATTAACCCGATGACGTGCGTAAGGAAAATGGCTCTTTTGATTGACTTGAACTTTTTGTCATAAAAGAGACAATTTTCTAACGAGCTTCCACATGATTAGCAGGCACAGCTGACCGGAAAATTGGAGGCAATAAAACGCCGGAGGGCTCCGAATTTGTCAACCGGGCGATCGCGTGTGCGAGAGGCAACTGAGCAGCCGAGTTGACAAGGTTGGTCCGAAGTGGTCGCGTTTTTTACTCTTGGCCGTTAACAGTTCCCCGGTTCCAGATTCATAAATCAAGCGCAGGCGCAGAGGCCTTGGCGCTCAATTTACAGTTCAATTGATAAGATCGAAGATATCATAGCGAATCAATTACCAAAATTAGAGCACTTTGTGGTTCTGATGTCTAGACCAAAACCGCTTTTCAATTTCTTTCGCTAAATTAAATCAAAATACATACGTTTGGAAGGAGGGTTCGGGTTCAAGATGGTACATTCAACTTAGATAAGAAAATATGTAAAAAGCGTGCGAAGAGCTATAGCTATGGTTAAAGAAAGTCACTGATAAAAAAAATTATTCCTTTATAAACGGTTTCCCTTGGATTTAAAAATTTTAAATAAAAATTTTAATAAGCCTCGGTAATACTAAGGATCAGTAGGTCGATAAAATGTTAAAGCAAGTTAAATAATCTGTCTTAAATAGCAAATTGCTATTTTTGTGTCTACCACTGTGCTTGCCCCAAAAGGTGCGAAACCGAAAAGAGGTGTGAAAACATAAACACAGGCAGGTGATTAGGACCTCACCACCACCAGCTGCTGGACATGATGACGCCACCCAGTCCCGGCGCCGAGGATGCAGCGGCTCCCTCCGTGATCCCTGGAGCATGCAACAGATGTCCCTCATCCGCAGCGGCGTCCTTTTCGATCGAGGGAAACGCCTGTCCATCGGATGAGTTCCTGTCCACCGGCGCGTGCATCTCACTGTTGTGGCTCTAGTTTACCGGAAAGATAAGGGTCACATCAGTGCCCTTTCCGCAGGAATCTTCTCCCTCGATTTTAGTTTACGTGCAACACACGGCACAGAAATTTAACGAGTTTTTTAATGCAAAAAGCAGCGAAGTGTTGTTGGTAGGGTTGTTGATAATATATCAAAATATCAATATATCGATATTTTTTTCTAAAAATGATATATTTATATCGTGATATTTTTTTTGCCCAAATATCGAAATCACGATATATTTTTTTGATATTTTTTGATATTTTTGTCATTGGTTACATTGAACTCCAAAGCAACTTCCAGTGAACGAATTCAAGCGCAAAATAATATTTTCGCAAAATGCACGCAAAAGAAGGTATGTATGTGATACGTGTGTGTGGTGCGTATGGCCAGATTTCGTTGTGTATGTGTGCATATGTAACTTACGCACATACCACTGAAATTTGGCGCCAAACGCGCACACACACGTTCACACATATATAAATTAGTTTTAATTCTTTGCTGCTGAGGGAAGAAGCAGGGCGACGGACGCACGCATAACGCAAAGGGTGTTTTTAAAATCCATAAAAACTGAATAATGGTCATAACGTATATATAATAATAATACTATTATTTTTAAAAAGAAACTTATTGTCTTTTTATTGTGGGCGCCAAATTTTTTATTTAACACGAAAAATATCAAAAATATCGATATATCGATATTTTTATGTGATAATAGAAATATTATTATCATATTATTTGATAAAAAAAATATCATCGATACGATATTTTCTAAAATTTCGACAACCCTAGTTGTTGGTAGAGATGTCAATAATTCGATAAAATTTCATTGATAGAACCGATAGTTCGGCTTGTTGCGTGAGCCTGGCGCGCAATTCAAAACCCAAACGATATAAAAACCGCCTTCGTCATTTACAGAAGCATTCGTCATTCATAATTATTTCCGACAAAGGAATGCAAATTAGTCAGGCACGTGAAAACATTGTTTATTTTAAGCCTAATTTGTACGTGCTTAAAGCGCTTTTAAAATAACAAACAAAAGCTACATGGCTTTTTTTTTAGAACAACAAGCTAAATAAACAAATTTTTACTGCTCAACATTTATACTCAAAACATACTCAGAACTACTCAGAAAAAAGTGTTTAATCTATACCGTATGTGTAAGATATATGGAATATATTTAAACCCTTTATAATTTAGTTATTTTAAATACTTTGGATTGACTCACCGAAACTGTTTGCGTCTTTCGCTTAAATCAAGAACCCTTCTTAAGGGCTTGGGTGAGTTTCCCGGCGACATGGCTGCGGCTCCATCGTTTTCCTCCTCCAAGGAACTGGACACCGAATCGTTGGCCACCATTTGGCGAGCCAGCTGCAGATCCTCCTCACGCATTTTATTGTAAGCTTAAGCCGAAATTTTATTAACAACCTCGCTGTTCCGGTGGCGAGATTCAACTGAGCTGCTGGTTGTGCCTTGTTTTCCAAAATATATACAATGCATGCGCATATGTAATACTCGGAGAAGTTAGTTGTTGAATAGATACTGTGGCCGCCCCACTCGTACTTTGAATTCATTTAGAGCCTCCCGATATTTACATTTCCAGAGCAACTTTTTCGAGCGGTCCATATTTTGACGGCCAATCGGGTGCCGAGATAGATTTATAAGCTATGCGTGGATTAATTGCCGGTGGCGCGTTCTTAATAATATATGTCTGAAGGTAGCGCCAAGAATATAGGCCCATTTTTGCATCGAGAACGATTGTTGTCGTTGGTTTTTTAAGTGGACCTGCAAATTTTGTCTGGTACGCATTTTTCCATTTAAATATTCCGTTGGTCTAGTTTATATAAGAAATATTTTGTTATTTTAAGTAAGTTTTTAGAACCAAGGTGAATTCTCAGGGGTGCGTGAATTTTGCAAACTTGGGATGATTTCTAAGATAACCTTCTATAAAATCATTCAGAATTTTTTACCAAAAGCTTAAAAACCGAACTTCCGGGTGTATCGGCGTAACCTGTTGTGAGGTCCTATTCGTTGGAAATAGACTAGGTGCGGATTTCGTAACTGATTAAATTAATCTATCAAATGTAAAAACCTTTCTTGTTTTTATGCTGTTAATTTTTTGATTGTTTTTAAAATGATTAAATTATTTAAATTTTGATTCTCAAGTTGTAATCCAATTTGATAAGAAATTTACATTTCATTTGACATAGACATTCTACATCATTATCCGGACGCACTTAGTGCTGTCCATTTAGCTGGCTTGAAGCTCTATTTAGCTTGCTTCAGATCTCCTCACACTGCTGCGGCTTGGTATTATTCGCCGCACCAGCTTTGGTCATACCAAAAAAGCAACCGACAATTTTACGTCAAAAGCTAAGGAAATAATTTAAATCAACGAAAGAATCGGCATACAATGGCAGCAAAGGCAGCACTACCTCTGCAGAAGTTCGGCCGGCGTTTCGTCCAGCTGAGGTCATCGGTCACGTCCCAAAATATGAGGTAAGTACGCTAAAAAGTGCTTCCTCTTTTCTGTGACGTAATGAGGTCGCACGTTTGTCGGCAATCGCACGTAATTGTAATGTGTTATCTCGGATTTCCGCAGCGCCCTGCGTTTGTATAGCACAGAGAAACAACCGGAAGAAGCGGCGGCAGGTGCAGCGGATCAGAAGGCACCCGCATCCTCGCCAGAACTGGAGCAACTCACCAAGGATTTGGCCGCCGCCAAGGAGCAGAATGCCGAGCTCCTCGACAAATACAAGCGATCCCTTGCCGACAGCGAAAACATGCGCAACCGGTTGAACAAACAGATCAGCGACGCCAAGATCTTCGGCATCCAGAGCTTCTGCAAGGACCTGCTCGAGGTGGCCGACACACTGGGACACGCCACGCAGGCGGTGCCCAAGGATAAGGTGGGTAACCAAAAGGATTAACAGCTGCTGACACAGTTTCATTATCAAACCAAAATTGTTCCTGAATTTATATCAAGTTAAATTGCACACTTTATTGATTTTCTTCATTAATTACAGCTCAGTGGAAATGCCGATCTGAAGAATCTATACGAGGGACTCACCATGACGCGGGCATCGCTGCTGCAGGTGTTCAAGCGACATGGTCTGGAGCCCCTGGACCCCATCAACCAGAAGTTCGACCCCAACCAGCACGAGGCTCTGTTCCAGAAGGAGGACAAGAGCGTCGAGCCCAACACCGTGGTGGAGGTGACCAAGCTGGGCTACAAACTGCACGAGCGTTGTATACGTCCCGCCCTGGTGGGCGTGTCCAAGTGTTGATGGCCAAGCGGCTGCCCAGCGGCGTGCGAAATTCCCAGTCCCCAAGTTCCCATTTACATGGCGTCGCCCTCAATTGTTTGCAATTTGTTTTCCGCTGCAAAATTTATGTACGTAAACCCCGTGTAAATACAACCAATCCCCAAATGCATCCTTCGGGCAGCGCTTGCGAATTTAGAATTCCTCCTAGTTTCTAAGAGATCTGTGACTGGATTTGATGGCCACAATTTGTACCACACGCGTTGCCATCGAGTGTTCCAATTTAAGGTTTAATTACGATAATAAAAAACATGTTAGTTTTGTTAAAATGGACTGAGATTTTCCTCGGATTTCGGGGACTGCTGACAAATCTATTTGTCTAGATCCTCTTTTGTTTTCCCTGAAATTCGAAACCCTCTTGAAACACACAGGTAGCAGGTAACAGGATAAGTGAAAATTCAATGGAAAATCTACGTTTTCTATAACTCAGCAGGTAGACACCAGCAACAATTCACGAAAAATACAAATGGTGGTCCCATAAATCGACATTTGTCATCGAGTTCCAAGTCTTCTTCGAAAGGTTGTTGTGTTAACATGGGTTAGTTGTCCTTAAACATTTGAAGTGAACGGAATGGTTGGTTTGTTAATGCGTTTTCTCTGGTCATTGGCTCTGCTGCAGTGCATCGACGTTGGCTTGGCTGAAGGACCTCCTTTCAACGACCGGGATTGTGATTTCATAGGCGACGCCAATATAAAATGTCCACCCAAATCCAAGTTGCAGAATGCCTACTACTTCAACATGCCGGTTTATAAACTGAATAGACATGGCATTCCCACCACAACTACAACCACTACCGAAGCTCCAGTTGTGGGTTATCCTGCTGACCTTTTGGAAATAGCCAGCAAGGTGGGTCTGAAGGATCTGCCAAGCATTGAGGAGCTGGGCAAGTTGATCGGCACGGATAATCCCAGCGATACCATCAACTACATCCGAGCCCTCGTCGGAACCGATGAGGGTATAGAAATGATCAAACAGTTCCTGAATACTCTGCAGTTCGAGAAGATTGAGGAGGACAAGCCGATGGAGGATAACGAGAACATCGACAACAACGATGAGATAAACGCCATGGAAGACTACTTGGGTCGGGAGAGGTACACCACTCCAACAGTGGGCCAGCGATATAATCTGATGCCAGGTCATCTTCCTGCTCCAATTAACCCTCCTTTCATGCCCTATTTTGTGGCACCTCCGAGCAGATTTGGCCGAATTCCACCCTTCCTGGTCAGGTCACCACTGCCGTATCATTATCCCATTCCTCTGCCACCACCAGGAGCGAACCACAATGCCCCACGGTTTCACATGCCCACACACAACACACCCAACACACCCAAGCCACATCTGAATACACTTAAGCCCCAAGTGGACGCGGTGATCAAGTTCTCAAATTTGCCGCCTCACGTCCAGCGGCTGGCAAAGTTGCTAGACATTCCCCCAAGGGTTGTGGATCAGTTCCTGAAGAATCAGCCCAAGCTGGCGGATCTGGCCAAGCGGCTGAGCACCCTGGCTCTCAGCCCGGAACAAACCCAGGACATGGACTCCCAGGTGCTGCAGGCTGTGAGGAACGCACTGTCCAACAACGATGATCTGAAGCGACTGATCGAGGCCTCCATGGCACTCAAGTAAATTTGTAACTAGTCTAGCCATATTTCTAAAATAAACTAACAAAATAATCAACAAGGTGGTTTTTGTTTGAATAAATCTGTGCTTATAACTTTATACATTGAATTATCAAACAAATTAATATAGAATTTTTAAGGGGCTTAATTTCTATATTATGGCATTGTTTATTTTTAGAAGTCAATATATAGGTTTCTTAGTACAACATAGCGAGTTTAGTTTGTACTAAACTTCCACATGGTGATGACATGGGTTAATTTCAGGCATAAACTTTACATATTTTGCAATGTGGCGAGTACCTCAAAACGCGAAGATCTTATCCGAAGATATTAAACCAACACGTTATTAAATACTACCAACTTTGATCTGGCGTTTCATGCATAGCAGTAGCTTAAGCTGTAAATTCGGCCACCGTTTAATGATGTCTTAACGCTCGGAATTTACCATAAATAATGCATATTTGTTTGACAATTAAAATAAAATACCAAGCCCATAAATCAGCCAAGCATTCGGTAAAATTGTCTGAGTTTTCTATATGTCCATTAAAATAGCACTCAATCACACTGGGAAATGGGCAATCGAGCGTGCATTGGACAACAATAAGTTTTATGAAATAAAATATGTATATCTTCTGTACTAATTCTCTGTAATTGTTCGACAATTTAAATGAAACGCAAAGCCAAGAGTTCAGCAAGGCGTTTGGTAAGGTTGTCGATTTCTATATGTCCTTAAAAATAGCACTCAGTTACCCTGGAAATTGGGCAGATGAGCGTGCATAGGACAACACGTGGTTCTAGAAAAGGTGATATAATTTGTATCTTAAATAAACCGAATTCTCTCGAAGCGAAAATTGAAATGTGCTGTTGGTAGTGAGACCTTTTCTGGTAATCGAAAATATGTCTTCAGAATCGGGGGTGTTTTACTCCAAATTAGTGTTAAACATGCTGTTAATTATGTACCTAAAATACGCCAGAAAACGTTAAGTATAATTTATACTTAAGCTAAAAAGTATGCTTTAAAATAGATTAATTACTCTTAAAATTTAAATAAATATTTTACAAGCTCATAAAATAAATGTAATTACTATACTTAGTTGTTGATTTTATAATGTACATGCTTTGATTTTGTTTTCAACTCTATAAACTTAAACAAATGAGAGCCGAAAATTTCGGTTACAAAATTCAAAATTCAAAAACCCATTTGGCGGGGTTACTTCTTTAAGATCTATTATGTTTAAAATGCAGAGCCGACTGATCTTGTCGCCCGTCTCTTGTCTCCGATGGAACCAAAAGCACTCAAGTACGAAACCCGCTAAATCCTCCTTCGCCGAGTCGATGAAGCCCATGGAGGAGTTTAAGCGTAATCGAATTTCCAAGATCAGTGTGGTTGGAGCTGGTCAAGTGGGCACCGCGATTTCTGCGATGCTGCTGCTCCGGAATCTCACCAAACACCTGGTCATACTGGATGTAAACTACGAGCTGGCCAAAGCGGAGGCACTGGACTTCCAGCAGGCTTCGGCCTTTTTGGGCGATGCACGGATTGATCCCTGCGGCGATGGTTCGCACTCAAAGGATTCGGATGTGGTTATAATGACGGCGGGAGCTCGACCCTCGGGAAAGGATCGCTCTCGCCTCGGGGCGATGCACAAGACGGTGGAGATCTTCAAGGAGGCCGTACCCAAATTGGTGGATTTGAGTCCTAAAGCCACCTTCATCGTCATTGCGAATCCGGCTGATGTGATGACCTTTGCCTTCCAGCGGATTGGCAATTTGCCCAAGCATCGCTGCTTCACCACCGGCTGCCACTTGGATTCGGCGCGATTCCGTAACCTCATCGCCGCACGTCTCAAATTGCCAGCTTCTCAGATTCAGGGCTTCGTGATCGGGGAGCATGGAACGAGTTGTGTGCCCGTTTGGTCCTGCGTCTCCGCCGGCGGTATTCTGCTCAAGGATATGGTCCAGGATCTGGCCTGTGGCGATGACCCAGAAAACTGGTCGGAGATCAACGAGCAGGTCATAAAGGGTGGCCTTGCAGTGGCCAAGACCAAGGGTTATACCAACTGGGCCATTGCCCTAACCTGTGCGGATGTCGTGGAGGCGATGTGCGGCGGAAGGGGCAAGATCGTCACCCTGGGTACGGACATGCAGGGTCTGCATGGCATCGAGGATAGCGTCGTGCTCTCCCTTCCCTGTTTGGTCACCTCGGGTGGGATTAGTCATGTCTTCGAGCTTCCCCTCACGGATGTGGAGGAAAAGAAGCTACATGCCTCCGCCGAAATTCTTCTCGAGGCGCAATGCTCTATAAAGTTTTAAACTAAAAAAATATGAATTGCATATGGTTTGAGCTTGGGAAAGTTTCACCCAAAACAACGCCTGGAATTTTTGGAAAGAAGTTTGACCACCCTAAGAAGAGAATACTGCTGATTCCACTTGATTGGAAATAATGTGAGCCAGATTTAAACGTTGCACAGATAATATTAAGTCAACGTGTTTTTGTTTACTAAGAGATACACAAATTCAAATCCCTTCTCTCATTTGATAGCTGGTTTCCAAAGACCCCACCTAACGTTATATTCATTGAAATCAGCCAGCCACAACCAAAATAAATCTCAAGTGGAAAGAACGAGAAAGAAGAGAAGAAAATAGAAGAGAGAGATAAATAAACAAGCCCTTTTCTATTTTCTCCTAGAGAAAACGAGACATAAATACACACATTACATAGACAAGTTGTAAAATGCAACGATATGAAAACACTTTTCGGCATTTCTGTGACCCTGTGAATATACATCTAAAATTTTGTAATTTTCCCAAAAATTATGATTAATTTCTTTTGGGGCAGCGACAATTTCGTAAGATTTTTGTGATGATTTTCCAAGGTCTTTCGAAGAAAATCGAAAGTCAAAGGTCTTGGAAACGAATAGGTGAGCAGCGAAATGGGAAAGCAAATGATGAGCCAAGACGATGAAATCATGCGACCCAAAGACACTTGGGGTCTTTGTGAGAAGAGAGTTGCGCAACTTTTGGAGCCAAGGTCTACGATTGTAGCAGGCGCCCACGAATCTCAGCAGCGATCAACGATCGCGATCCGCTCTCCAAATTTCCCCCCACATTCGAGTTTCCATTTAAATCGTTTCGGCGGTGCAGATGCAACGAAGCGGATCAAGTGGTTGGTTGACCTGGGGTTGCGACACGCCAAGATTGTGCAGCATCCCACGTCTAATAACCACAAGTGTAGCCAAGTGTAACAGGCCACCAGGCGAACAGAATTCGAGAAGGTGATTCTGTGAAAAACAAGGAGATTTTTAACGCCTCGCTGCATTTGCGTGGGAAAATGTTACGCCACGATTTTGACTATTGTAGATAAGTTGCATGGTGAGTTCAAATAAAAAAAAAACAAGTTCACAGGGCCTTTCCCATTTCTCTATTTTGTTTAAATAAATGGAAATGCTTAGCACTATTAAGTTGTTTGTTTAGCTAATTGAAATTCACTAGGCGCACAGTGCGTGGAGAAAGTATGCACACACACGCACACACTTGGATTTCCAGCTACCTGCTTGTGTGTTTTTGGAATTTCCATGATTTTCGGGGATTTACATGCTTTCTTTTTTCATGTTTCCCTGTTGAAGTGCTACAGTTTTTCCCCAAGAACACAATGACATATTTATAGAGAGAGCCCCCATGGAGCCTAACGAATTGAGGTTGTTTGTTTGCTTTTTGTTTTGTTTGTTTTGGTTGTGTAAATCGGAATAGGTCAACAGAAAGTCTTGGCAGAGTGGTAAGAGCAATAAAATCTGGGGAAATTCGGAAACTGGTGACACTTTACTTTTGCTGTTGACCTATTGAAATGCGACAGTTTCGCATGTGTTTTTTTGGGTGTGCGTGGGATGATCATGGACCGATCCAATCTTGACCTCATGAAGTGTATTTAAGAGTGGTGTTTCTGGTTAACATGTTTGCCTGTTTAAATGCTACACATTTTCATCGTGTGTTAAGTGATTTTTTGTTACATGATGTTTGATCTGCACACCATCGGGATTTCCCACAGTGATCCCCACACATGCTATCGCCTATTTTCGTTGTGCATCCGAGTGTGACCTTTGAACAGGCGAACAGAAGGTGCAGCCTGAAGACCTGCATCCGATGCATCCAGCCAAGTGCAACGCCAAGATTTTCTCCCACCTCCGAGACCCTTGGGTTATATTTAACAAATGCATGTGAGTTTTGGGTCGATGCATTTTCGTTTCGGATGCTGGATGCAGTTTTTCGTTGCACGAACTCCGCCTACTATCAACTTTGTCAGCCTGTTCCATTTGGCCACGCTTCAGTGATCTTCTGAATGGGATTAATGGAGATTATCTCGCTTGAAATAACCATTTAATTTTCCTGATTCGGTTCGATTTAGTCTGCTTGATTTTCTGCTAACCTGTTCTGTTGATCTGTTTGGTCACGCTCCACTGATTTTTCCTGGAAATGCTCTTTGACCCTTTGGATGATTATTTAAAATAGATTTCTAAGCAAATTGTGTATCTGATGGTGATGCTTGCCTGATCTCTTAATCCGTTTGGTCACGATTCAACGATTTTCTTAGAAAATTCTTTAAAATTGCCAGCACCCACACTTTATATTGGTTTGCCTTCTGTAAAATCTGTTAGCCTATTCGAATGCTACAGTTTTGTGACCTTTTAACTCTTTTTTTGCTTGAGCCTAAAAAATTGAACAATAATGTGGCACAAAATAGTTTTGGCATGATCCTTTTGAAATCTTTGCTTGCCTGATATTTTGAATCAGTTTGTTACGCTTCATTGATTTTTGAGATGCTGTATGGTTTTTCCAAGATCCAGTTTTCGGATACCTTCAGCTATTTATTTTGGAACCTTGCTTAACTACATATTGATTTTCTTGAAAGCCTGGCAGTTTGATGCGCATGATTGCACTTTGAGGATGAAAATGATGCTGGATGTGGATGCTGTTTCCCGATGGGAAAAAGGGTTAAGATGCTAAAAACTGTAGCAATGTAACAGGCAAACATAAAATTCGACAAGTTGCTGAGAGTCAAAAGATCAGGATCAGCCAGGCTTAGAAACAACAAGAAAAAGGGCAGGTGAAATGTTCAAATTTAGCAGGTAGTTTTTCGCTCACAAAGGATTTCTTAGGGCCTAGGCGTTTACAAATAGTAAACATTGGTTTATGAAAACCTGGTCCGTTTTTCATCATGGCAACGCTTCATTGGTTTTGAGGAAAAATTTAATATGGTTCGTAAACACCTGAGAGGCTGTTAATTTTCCTTTAGAGCCTAAATAATTTGAAATTTCCGAAGGTCTAACCAACAGTCATGTTATCCTGTTCGATTTTATGCAAAATGACCTCGCTTTATTGATCAAAAAATTATTCCGATAATGTCAAAGGTCAGAAAAAGCGTAGCAACTAAACAGGACTTCAGAACCTGAAAAAAGGAAAATCAATACGAGACTGAAAGATGGAAATTTAAAAAAAAAAATTTTTATTCATTTTTAAGATCAGTGGTGCGTGACTTAAATCAAAAAACGTACCGGCAATCAGAAAATTTAACAAGGGAATTTAAGGAAAAAACGTCCTGGAAATGCATATGCAGCAAACAGATTCTCTAACCTTTATTTACTTAATTTTTTTGGTTTTGATCTACCATTGGCTGGCAGTTTTGTAGCCTTATTAATAACAAACAATTTCGTCTCCTGTTAACTGTTAAAATGTTATGTTCACCTGTTAATTTTATAATTTTAGCCACAATTCATTGGTTGATGTGGATGTTCTGCAAATTTTTGAGTATTACCTGTACCCTAGGGTTCCACCTTTACGATGAAAACGGAAACTAGAAAATAATAAGTTTCGGTTGAAGATTTCGACCGACTTGTTTGTGGGAGCTGCTATCCTGTTCAAATGATACAGTTTTCTGGTTTTAACCCTTTCTGATCGCTTTGGACTTAAGCCACAATGCGTCAATGATTTTCACATGATTTTCATTTTCAAGGAAAAGTATTTAAAGGTTAAAATTTAAATTGTAGCATTCGAATAGGATAACAAAATAAATAACAAGCTAATGGGATTTTAAGATTAATCCTATTTCATATGTTTCTAATGAAGATGCTGCGGTTTTCATTTTTTCCTGTTCACTATTTTATTTTCTTGTTAACATACCTGTTCATCGTTAAGACGTTGGTTACGCTTCCTTGATTTTCATCCAGGAAAGAAATTTTCATCCTGGAAAAACTCTCCGAGGCCGTAGTGTGTAGAATCTTTTTCTTGCGTGGGTGCAGATTTCCTGATTCCATCGTTAGTCTAAAAATTTTGGTTACCTGTTCAAAGTAAAGATGTTGGTTACGCTTCTACGATTTTCATCCAGGAAAGAAATTTTCATCCTGGGAAAACTCTCCGAGGTCGTACGATGAAGATTGTGGGTGCAGATTTCCTGATGCCATCGTTAGTCTACAAATCTTGGTTACCTGTTCTTTGGATACACATGAGTGATCTTACAACTTAAAGTGGTTCCACTGGACTGATCTTCATTTCGATTTAAAATTACTTAAACTCTTAATTTGATTTATACAATTTTGAATCGCTATGCAAATCGGTACGAAGTCATCCACATTTAGTGGGGTAATATGATGCAATGGTTAAACCTGCTTAAGATTGGCTCTTTATTTATTTCATTTGCACTACCTCGTCTTTGGTACTGCTTCTCGTTAAGATGCTGGTTACACTCCCTTGATTTTCACTCGGAAAATTGCATTTCCATGAGAAATCTCTACGGAAATTGGGTCGTGCTGAGTGGAATCTTTTCTTTCGTGGGTGCAGATCTCCTGCTGCGATCGCTGGTCTGACAATCTTGTGAGCCTGTTCCCTGGATGCACATGAGTGCGCTTCAGTGATCAGCTCATCTTTAGGAGCAAATTCAATGATTTTCTCTCAGTTTTGGTTGTTATGGATAATAAAAAGGGTTTAAAATTAAAATTGTAGCATTTGAATAGGTGAACAAACTACCTAGCAAGTTGATGGGATGTCAAAGACGTCAAGATGCTGGTTACGCTTCCCTGATTTTCGTTTAGAAAGTGAAATTTCATGGGAAATCTCCACGAAAATTAGGCCTTACTGTATAGAATCTCTGGCTTTCGTGGGTGCAGATCTCCTGCCTGAGAATCTTGTTAACCTGTTCCTTCGATACATACGAGTGCGCTTCAGGGATCTGCTCATCTTAAGGAGCAAATTAGCGCTTCAACGATTTTCTCTCAGTTTGTATTGTTATGGTTAATAAAAAGGGTTTAAAATTTAAATTGTAGCATTTGAATAGGCGAACAAAACACCTAACAAGCTGATAGGATGTCAAAGGTCATCACTGGTATATCAACTGTATGGTGGTGCTGCAGTATTTACCCAAGATTTTTCCAGTCATCTGGCTTTATTCTATGATTACCTGTTTGACGTCAAGATGCTGTTTACGCTTCCCTGATTTTCCATTAGAAAGTGAAATTTCATGGGAAATCTCCACGAAAATTGGGCCGCACTGTGTAGAATCTCCGGCCTTCGTGGGTGCCGATCTCCTACCTGAGAATCTTGTTAACCTGTTCCCTGGATACACACGAGTGCGCTCCAGTGATTTTTCCCATCGTCGGGCGATGCTCCCTGCCCGCTGACTCTTTCCATCCATCTCCTTTCGGCCCTTCTGCAGATTGCTGTGAACCTGTTCGAAAATTATGCATCGATGCGCATCAGTGGCAATCATGGAGAGATAATAATAATGGGATGCTGCCGCCGCTGATGAGGTTGTTAATAAATTGCCC